GTTCACGTCACATCATTTGGCCTTTTGGCGTGCGCACGTATGTACGTATGTACGTCGGTCGTTCGAAACGTCCACGCAAGTTTGATTGCGAATGGACGACGACAGCGCCACCGCTGCTGTCGCTTCGTTGCCTGCCAGGCAAACACGCACGCATCATCCGCGCGAACCCGCGCCGCGGGGTAAAAACAGCGGCTCTGAAACCAACCGGGGGTGGAAGGCTATCGCTCTCTTTTCCAAAGCTCTCGTGAAAGCTGTACACACACGGTGGTGCGTATTAATGACGCGACCGTTGACGGCGTGCGCTCGCGAGAGCCGCCTAAAAGACGGCGCATTGTGCGAACAGCAATGAGAGCACACCACCCTCCTCCAGTTTCTGCATTCGTCTTAACCATCGCGCGGCTGACTTCGCGTCGGACACATTGTGCCCTCCACGATCTACCCTCGCTCGAGAGGATTTCGCGAATTCTCCTCTCCTTCGTCGTCGCTTTTTGGACGAATCTTTCGTTCATTTCGTAGTGGAAGGAACGAAGATCGGCCGGAGTTTTTTAGCGTTTGCAACTGGCGCAGCGCATTCGTGCCTCTTTTGATCTCGAACAGAGAGAATGCCTTTGCTTTGCGGAAGTTAGTGCTTCGGGAGGACGCCCCTTTGTAAAAAAAAAAAGTCTCTCGTTCAGAGTTCCTCATTGCTGTTCCTGCTCGACGCAGAGAAATTAATCCGAAGAGTGAATACCAAATGAATTTACTAGAGAAACAAGCTAATTACGAGTTTATAATGCGTACAAAGAATTGCTCGTTAGTTATTGAAATTGGGATATTGATTACCTCGCGAGTTAAACGAAGCCATTCAAACTTCTGGAAAGGAGTAAAAAAAAAAACAGAAGCAAGTTCTTGGGGAACAAAACTCGATTATTGGACACTTCTGGTAAGGTATCGTTAAATATCGTGTCTATATGTACATGCTGGTTCTCGAAGCGATGCGGAAGAACGGCACTCCATCTCTCCCTCTCCCCTCTCTCACGAAACTCGTCAGCAATTTCTAACTACATAGTTCGTAAGAAACCTCGTTAACGAATTTATTCGCCACGACTTTATCAAGTTCAGAGGCTCGGCGAGGATCTTTCTACTTTTAGTTTCGGCAAGCCTCGCTAACATCGTTTACAAGTCGCTTAGCTAGTTCCCGGAGATCTGCAATTAAATAATATCTCGCACAGTAAAAATTTAATCAACCATCTCACAATCAGTTTCATTCTTCCAACGTGCAACATTCGTGTAAATAATTCAATTCAATTCATAAATAATTCAATTTCGACGCGAAATATCCGTCAGGGGATACCTACAAGTAATATCGTTTTCTTCAAATTTAATAAACATTGCCATCTAGTGGCAATAATTTAACTTGTTATAACATAACCTATATTATTATGATATTACCTGCATTATTATAATATATATTATTAGTTAATTATATTGACATTTAGTGTACCATCTAGTGGCAAGTACTTATTATAACATAACCTATATTATTATAATATTACCTACATTATTATAATATAACCTATATTATTATAATATTACTTGCATTATTATAACATAACCTATATTATTAAATATATTGACACTTGGTGTGCCATCTAGTGGCAATAATTTAACTTATTATAACATAACCTATATTATTATAATATAATCTACATTATTAGTTAAATATTGACATTTATTGTGCCATCTAATGATAATAATTTAACTTGTTACAGCATAACCTATATTATTAGTTAAATATATTGACATTTAGTGTACCATCTAGTGGCAATAATTTAACTTATTATAACATAACCTATATTATTATAATATTACCTACATTATTATAATATAACCTATATTATTATAATATTACTTGCATTATTATAACATAACCTATATTATTAAATATATTGACACTTGGTGTGCCATCTAGTGGCAATAATTTAACTTATTACAACATAACCTATATTATTATAATATAATCTACATTATTAGTTAAATATTGACATTTATTGTGCCATCTAATGATAATAATTTAACTTGTTACAGCATAACCTATATTATTAGTTAAATATATTGACATTTAGTGTACCATCTAGTGGCAATAATTTAACTTATTATAACATAACCTATATTATTATAATATTACCTACATTATTATAATATAACCTATATTATTATAATATTACTTGCATTATTATAACATAACCTATATTATTAAATATATTGACACTTAGTGTGCCATCTAGTGGCAATAATTTAACTTATTATAACATGATCTATATTATTATAATATAATCTACATTATTAGTTAAATATATTGACATTTAATGTACCATCTAGTGGCAATAATTTAACTTATTATAACATAACCTATATTATTATAATATTACCTACATTATTATAATATTACTTGCATTATTATAACATAACCTATATTATTAAATATATTGACACTTAGTGTGCCATCTAGTGGCAATAATTTAACTTATTATAACATGATCTATATTATTATAATATAATCTACATTATTAGTTAAATATATTGACATTTAATGTACCATCTAGTGGCAATAATTTAACTTATTATAACATAACCTATATTATTATAATATTACCTACATTATTATAATATTACTTGCATTATTATAACATAACCTATATTATTAAATATATTGACACTTAGTGTGCCATCTAGTGGCAATAATTTAACTTATTACAACATAACCTATATTATTATAATATAATCTACATTATTAGTTAAATATTGACATTTATTGTGCCATCTAATGATAATAATTTAACTTGTTACAGCATAACCTATATTATTAGTTAAATATATCGACATTTAGTGTGCCATCTAATGACAATAATTTAACTTATTATAACATAACCTATATTATTATAATATAACGTACATAACCTATATTATTAATTAAATGTATTGACATTTAGTGCGTTTATAATTAATATATTATATATTAAAACTGTATCAACTCTTGAATAAAATTTTGCACAGCATCAGAACGTATACGTTCTAATACGTTTAAAGGTATCTAATACGTTTACAATTCGCGAATTCCGAGCGTAGCCAAGCATCGGATAACGTTCGTCGAGAGACGAGATCAAATTCGCAGTCACTGGCCACTGACAACCGATCGCTGACGCTGCGGACGCAGTTATCAAATCCCGCATGCACGCGTGATTGATCTACGTGATCTTCGTTAAAATTCTGGTTGACCTACGCTAACGGAAAGTGTCGAAAAATAAAACGGAAGGTTCGCCGGTTTGCTTTTTGTTTATTTTACGTATCCTCTTCCAGCTTCGTGGAAAATCGACTGCGATATTTAAGGGTATCGAGAACCCGCGAGTTACAGTGAAATCGAAAGAACAAAGTGCTTCCTTTCCAACGAAAATATTTGTTTGCTTATAGAGAGAAATTATTGAAACAATTTCGTATATTAGATAGCTTGCGAGATTGATCTCTGAAAGAAGATGTAAGTTGTAAGATTTCTTTTGTTTAAAATTTCTAAAGATGTGTTTTTGCTCTTTTGCATAGCAACGAATGTGTTTTTGCGTATAAACTATTTACAATTATTATACGCGCAAGTGTTAACATTACGCTCTCGCGCGGAGTTCGCAATTATTTTCCAGAGTTTCACTTTGAACATTACGTGAGGATTTCAATCATTCGGAGAGCGCCATTTCTCATCCTTTCAGAGTAGTCCTAAAAGGATCAGGTGATAAATGTATCCCATAAATATATGTAACCTACTGATGATTTGCACATAGAACTGAGCCAGCGCCTTAGTACCTACTGCGTTTAAAGCGTTTGCCAATAATAAATTTGCGAATAAACGTACCTAATAAGGAGATACCTCTCCGCGTATTATCTCTCTCATTTATTAATGTTAATTTTTTCATGACGCCCCTTATTTTATTTAAAAAGTACAATCTATTGAGAACTTTAACTTAGTAGACACGATGATGAACTATCAACTCTCTGTCGAAGTGAAATTTTTCAAAATTACAGAGCAGTTAACATGTTATTATATTCAACAGAAACTAAAACAAAAAAAAAGCCATATGTTGGTACACGTGCTTTGATAAAATTTGATTTACAGAAATATAAACAGGCCTGCTGCAAATGTCGAAAGGAAAACTTTTACAAATCATCACTGAATAATAAGTAGGGTAGAGTAGTTATACGCCTTTGGCTGAATATAGAATCCATAGCAAAGTGGACGACGAGGAGTGAACTAAGTGACTACGTGAATCAACTCTCGGCAAATTATTTTGTCGCCTGGACGTGGCAACGTGAAATCACCACCGAAAACACGATTATCAAACGCGTCGTATCCTGGCGAATAGCAAACGCGAAGAATACGCGGCGTCACCGTGTGCACATTCGGTTGCTATTTCGAATAATCCGGCTTAGGCAAGCATCGACCACAGTCTTCCAGTTGTGTATCGAGTGCAGCAGCATCATCTTCTCCCTCGTTCCTCATTTTCCTCTCTTTCTCCTCTTTTCTTCTTCCTGACATTCAAATTTGAATTTGATTACGAATTTGTACTCGATTTTGAGTTTGAATTTAAATATGATTTCGAATGTGAAATTAAAATTTGGATTTGATTTTGTGGAGAAGCGAACTAATCGAACAAACGTAAATGCGCCTTAATTGACCATCGATAATTTGCAGTTCATCTTTGATGTGAACTGCAGCAAAGGATGAATAGAGCGAATTAATTGAAATCCTCTGATGCGATATTGATTAATTAATTTGCCTACTGATCAAACTCAAACCAACCGTTTCGCCTTTAAATATGTTTACATATGTTTTGAATCAAATATAATCCTTTCTTTTTGTTGAAGTACGATTAAACAGAGACTTTCATAAACTTTCGGTAAATTCTTAAACTTAAGGTACGATTAAATAGCGATTAAATAGAATTTCTTTTAACTGAATTCCTTTCCTTTTGCAGGCGGAGGAGTTAAACACCATTGTCGGCAATGCTTTTCGTATGGCATACGTGGCGCAGCTTCAGCGCCAACCGATCCTTCAAGATGTGATCTCACCACAATCATCACCCTACAGAAAGGACAAACAGGAGAATCGATCTTCGTGGGTACGTACATTTTCTCTCGTGTCCACGCCGACGACTCTGTTTCCTCTTAATTTCTGCTTTTAAGACCTTGTACGTTATCAATAATCGTAAAAACAAAAAGGAGCCAGAGAAGATATTTTTTTTTTTTTAGAGGCGTGCGTGAGTAAATTCCAAAAATCCACGAGTTTCAATTTTATAGCAAGAAATTTAAAAACAATTTTCAAAGTAAATTCCGAAAATTCAGTTTCTCAAATTTTATAACGAGATATGTGAAAGAAAATTAAAACGGGAGCCAGAGAAAGATATTTTTTTTTAGTTTCAAAAATTCATGAGTTTCCAAACTTCATTAAAATCAGCAAATCGATATCAGAACTCATCCTCTTTTCGCGAGAGAGAAAAAGAAAGAGAATCTCTGTTAAAAGAATCGAATAGAATTTCGGAGAAAGCTTTTTCGCGAGGAAATGTAGCAATTTTTATTTATTTCGTTAGGCTTAAACGTGAAGAACGATATTCCCGATATTCGGTTTCATGGGAACATCGGTCTCCAGTTGAGGTGTCCCATTTACAGGGGCAGCGTTAATTATAAATTCGACCCAAGTCTCACGGCTCCGTCGTGTTTCCAAGTAAAACGGTCAGTTGATCGCTGGCTTGTCCGCTGGCTCTCCCTACGCAATCGTCCTGGGAATCGTAAGATTCTATCGATAAACTATTCATCGGTTTCCAAGTTTCATTGCCCGACCGAGTTCAGGATCCCCGTGTCAAAATTGGCAAGTAAAACTTCCACTCTATCCACCCGACGTTTATTTCCTAACGGATTAAACATTCAGTACGACTCCGTTCTCTTCGTTTTCTACTTCCGCCAGTCTCTCGGACTGTAATAGTTTGCCGAACGAGAATGGCAAACGTCGAATGCGCAAAAAAAAAAAAAAAAAAAGAATGTGATTTATACGTCTAGTATATCCATAGAGTGAGCCAAAAATCATTATAATTAAAATAAATCCGTAATTGTTTTTATTATTTTTTATCAATTTTTAGCGATTTTTTGAAACCATAACGAAAAAATCATGTTTGAACTTAAATTGATAAAGTTTCTCTCCCTATATTTTTTAATTAGTTAAAATTAAATAATTTTTCCTTGTGTTTTATTAACAAAAAAAAAAAAAAAAGAAGGTGGGAAAAAACACTTGTATAATTTATACCTATAATTTTATACCTATATTATACCTAATAATTAAATTTATACCTATATTATATTATATAATAATTATATTATATATATAATTTATACTATAATTTATATTATTTATACCACCCTATAATTTATAATTCGTTTAATTTTTAATCGACTGAATTGGTAACTAATAATTCGATAAATTGTCATTTGCGAAGCTCGAATTATTTGCGCAGAGTTTGACCAATATGCCATGTGTAAAATACCGTGAGTGGCGTGAAAGATAGGAATTGAGCGCCGAGAACTCGAGGCGAAGAGAAACAGGAAACGGTTGCAAGCTGGTTGGAATTTGGAATTACGAACTGGCCTTTCCTCTGTTGTAGAACAAATCGCTAACTGGCGACAACTCGATAGCCGGCGCGGGAGGAGGAGGTGTTTGCAGGAATTCGTCTTCGAATTCGTGGCTGAAAAGTCGGACGTCGCCCACGTCCAGAAGTGGAAGCGGCTCGTCTGCGGCGGACATGAACGTACAGCTAGGCAGCGCCGGCTCGCCCACGCTGCGACTCGCTAGCGTGAAGGTGAGCTCACTCGCATCCTTCTCTTTCATCCTGGTCTGTTCTATTATGTGTCCATATCTGCTTTCTCTCAATGGCTTTCTCAACGAACGTACGACGTTATTCGCCGCGGATTCTCCGCGCTGACTTAAATAGAAACGCCGCGCGTCGCCTAACAGTTACACTCCCACCAACATCAAATGCTGTACTTGCTGTACTGTAATACGCGGCTGGAACAGTAAGCTTTCGGCTAATTTTACGATTGACGAAAATCAAATGCACCTTTCGACATCTGTCGAATTTCTTTCTCCGTGCCTAATGTATTTGTAGCCTCGTAGCAAAGAAGAAGAAATTCGCTAAATCTCGTACAGTAAGAAAATGACCAAACTTTTTGAAAAAGGGGAAATAAAATTTTCCGGGGGTATACAAGCACTCGATTTTGCTCCATGGGAGTGGGTAAAATCGGATATTTATTAAAAAATGCAATGCAGTTATAAAATTGTTACTTTTGTTAGTCGAAGAATAGAAAAAAAAAAATATCTTTAACATTAATTCTAACAAATACAGAGTTATTCCATTTGGTTTGTTTGGTTGTTTAAGAAAATTATGTTAATTAGGAACATTTACCGTATTTATAAAAATGTAATTAATTAATAAAGCAAAAATCGCCAATAGAATATTCATCTCCCTGTTCGCCACTTGTACATATCACACGTGCCCATCCGTGCATTGAATCCACAACCAAATACCCAGTTTCCCCTCAAATGCATTAATTTACTAAACATTAAATATTTATACCTCAGTACGAAAATAGAAAGGTGAAAAAAGCGTCAAAATATTCGATAAAAACTATAGAATACAAATATTACTTGCCTGAATGGATTCTTGAATGTGAAAACACTAAAAAAAAACAATCACTCGCACAACATTAAAACTCTTCGAGCTCTTCAAGAAATTTTTAATTCTGTCTGCACGGAACACTGCGATGTTGTTTGCTCTGGAACTTAACCCTCTATGGGCCTTTGAGGTCATATGCTAATATATCGACATTTTACCAAATAATTTTAGTTTTGTCACAAGATTATATAATGTCTTTGAGATAACCAATAACAATATTGATGACGGACAACAGAGGAAAAAGCTGCAAAAAGCCGGGGTGTAAAGGAGTTGCAAAAATAAAATGTTCCAAATGCAGCGTACATCAATGTTTAACGCCAAGTGCAAACTGTTTTATGAAATTTCACGCTTAAGCTTTTATGCACAGAAGTGCAAATATTGCAAGCCGTTGTTACTTCAAAGTTACAAAGTGAATTAATTATAATAAAATTCTTTGTTTAATCTGCATATAAAGGTTTATAATTGTTGATTTTCCGTTGCATAATTAATTTTTTTATACTTAAGAAAGAAATTCGGCCCATAGAGGGTTAATGTCGTGGTACACAGTTCAAAGATACCCGGCTTTACCTTAATTTTTCCCCACTGCACAACTAAAACGCAAGAAGAAATTTGGCGCCAGATCGCGAAATGTTAATATCTTCTTCCTTCTTTGCATCAAACTAGACACCGAACTCGATTCCGGGTCTACGGCCGACCCACAACTTCACGAACGTTCTCGGGCCTATTACGAACGAGGATGAGCCAAAGAGTATCTCTCAGCAGAGCACGCCAAGCAGCGATGAGAGCAACTCACCAACGGAACTGAACTCGTACAAGAGACTAACGGACAAGCCACCTCTGATAAAGCGGCTGGCGATGGGTTTGACAGGTGGACGTGACGTTCTTGGACTGAACGGTGAGGATGACAGCTGCCCCCTCGTCAGTGGTAGCAGCACACCGACCAGCCCATCAAACAGGCCGCATTCCGGTGGTTATATAAACGAGGCGATCATCGACTCGGAGGGCACGAGGCCGGCCTACAACAAGATACCACCGTCCGAGAGCCTGGATAACACCATCAACGCGTCCATTACCGCGAAGAACTTCAACATTGAGAACAACAGGTAATCTCGCGAGATGGAACGAAGTTCTTAAATCACCTACTTTATTGATAGAGAATGAAAACGCAACGACACGTGACGCAACGAACCGTGTGTGTTTTAACTACGAACATTTACAGGATAGGACACAACTCGCCGAGCTCTGGCACGGAAACAGAATTCAAATCGAAGAGAAGATCTCAGATTAGCACGTCGAGCAGTTCGGTACCTGCCGATGGAAGCACACACGGCTCGACGCCAACCCCGCCGCCTCTTCCTGAAAGAACGGACAGTTTGAATAATCGCAGCGAAGAAGCGGAACTGCGCAAAGCTCCCTGGTTCCAGGCTGGAATACCAAGGTTTCTGATACTTTTTTTTTCTTTTTTTTTTTTTTGTTGATTTTATATCTTATAAACGTTTGATCTTCAATAATACACGATTACAATTATAATTGCAAGTATTCACTAACTAATAAGTAGAAATAACTGTGGACTTTTATGGAAATTTAGAGTCTTGAAAATGTGCATATGTAGAACTACTTTTTATATATACATTTTTATACCTATTCAAATTTAGATTCTTACAATATATATATATATAAGTTCTATAAATCTCTAAATATAAATAAATCTATAAATCTATAAATATAAATTCTATAAATTATATATACAAATATACAAATTCTATAAATTATATATATAAATATACAAATTCTATAAATTATATATACAAATATACAAATTCTATAAATTATATATACAAATGTATAAATTCCATAAATTATATATACAAATGTATAAATTCCATAAATTATATATACAAATGTATAAATTCCATAAATTATATATACAAATATACAAATTCCATAAATTATATATACAAATATACAAATTCCATAAATTATATATACAAATATACAAATTCTATAAATTATATATACAAATATACAAATTCTATAAATTATATATACAAATATACAAATTCTATAAATTATATATACAAATATACAAATTCTATAAATTATATATACAAATATACAAATTCTATAAATTATATATACAAATATACAAATTCTATAAATTATATATACAAATATACAAATTCTATTATATATAAATATATAAACTCTATAAATCCGTAGTCTTAAACTTACGAAATTTGTTTCATTTGCACAAATATTGTACAAGCGACACTCGAACGACGCGAAAATTAGATTCTAGAGGAGCATAGAGCGTTGTAAAAGTCGCAACGTGGAATGTTACATTGAGATAGAGAATGTACTTACAGTTCACTAGTAAGGAACTAACGTTCGTAAACAATTTCATTTAAAAAAAAAGCTACTAATTTATACTGCATTTTCACACACAGTGTTGTGGTCATTTATGATTCCAGGGAAATAACGCTAGAAGTGTTGAGCCAAGAGCCGGAAGGAGCCTTCATGGTGCGAGAGAGCACCAGTAAACCCGGATGTTATGCCCTTTCGCTTCGAGTGCCGCGCGAATTCCAACCAAGCGGAATAGCCCATTATCTCATAATGCGTACGAACAAAGGCTACAAAATCAAGGTAAATCTCTCTTGCCGAGTCTTCGCGAGCGACGGTCTTCCTTGTGAAAGTCTTTAACCGTCTGCGAAGCCGTCTGCGCTTAAATAGAGTAATTAACACTTTCGCTTTAACGGTTTAATTTCATTCTCTGTAATTATAATTTATTTCACTGCGTGCGAGGCAGTCTACCAATTGACCGTTTTCGCGTGAAACGAAAGCGATTAAAGCACTATTTCGTTGTGCATGTAACTTTTTTTTTTTCATAAAAAAAAAAAAAGAAAACGCAACGATGTTCCTTATACTCGTCGAAGAAAACACTGCTTTACCTCAGGATGATATTAATAGAAAAATATCACACCGTACAGTTTTCAGAGTAATAATTTTATTTCTAATCGAATCGTCATACCTTCTTGTTCGACCAAATTCGAACTTAAATTAAATTTCGACTTTGATTCACTTCCCTGTACAAAATTTTTGCACCGCGGCCATTCAGAATTTTCTTTTGAGTACACCACTGGACAAAATGTGAAAGGACACCGTTAAAGAAGCGTTCGCATAACTGTGCCGCTTTGAGTACGCAAATGTTAATCACCAACGAGTAATATCTCGTTTCGGACCGAAGCTTTCAGATCTGAAATATAATGGAGACATTGTGCAACTACAAAGCCACTCCCGGCCGCGTATTTTGCCATTTGGCCACGCGTATTTAAATGTCCGGACCTCCCTTGTAGGATAAATTAAATGGGTCCGTGGACTTTGATAATCTCCGAAACGAGTATAAATGAGTTTTGTTGGATGTACCGTAGGGAAATCAAAACTCCCTCCCACTCTTTCATCCGGAATTGCATTGCCGTAGCAACACGCGACGTGATTCGAACGTGTATGGCAGATGATAATTTTGACGTACGGTGTGTTTGTCATTCGATCTGCTTCGTAGATAAATAGTACGTTGTATAGAGACGAATTATACGTTGCACGAAAATTTATTTGTACTTACAGTATGGTTGTATCTTTTAACAGTCGTCCTTCATCCTTTCAATAACTACGTTAAATCGTTACAACTGTTTGCGTCATACGATTATAATAATTAATAATTACCATTTTGAGCATATTTTAAATAGTTTAACGAGAAAAATGTTACGAATAAAGTATCTCATCGACAACAAGATGCAGTAGTATTAAAAATTAGCGAAATACGAATTCTTGTTCGTTCCATCCTGCATGAGATTGCCAAAGACCGCGTTTTACACATCTATATGTATTTTAATTAAGTTTCATCAAATTAGTATTAGATTATCTTTGTTGCAACAAGGCAAACACATATTTCCATATTTATAAAATATGTGTCGTGATTATACAATAATTAGTAATTCCATTTCAACTCTATTTTGTTCGTTTGCAGGGTTTCACGAAGGAATTCACAACTTTGACCGCTCTAATTACTCACCATTCGGTGATGCCGGAATTACTGCCATGCCCGTTGTCGTTAAGTCGATACAACCCTAGCTTTGTGAAAAGCGATTCCAACAAAGACTTCGCGGACATCGATTCGGACCCCGATTACAATACTTTAGCCGACTTCCGTAAAATGATGGCTGACCTGAACGTCTAGAATAAAGCCCACCTCGCAATCAGGACGATCTGGAAAAATCGATACTTTCACCGAAGCTCTTCAAACCGACCCAGCTGAAGCGAATTCGTTTCGAGAGACTACTCGAACAGAAAGAGAAACTGACAACGCGCTTTGCGAATAGAGGATCGCTTAAACGCGAGTGCAGGCACCAAGAATTCACGAAATCGTTGAAATGTGTTTCTCTTTCATCGTCGTAAATCGTGTTCATTAACGAGTAAAACATTAATAAAATTAATAAAAAGACACGATCGATTAACTTGCTGTAACGATCTGTCGCACGCTCGAGAGTGAAGGAGAGTATCGTACGCTTGTGAGTGGATTCTCTGTACGTTCTCGCGGTGATATGTAATCGTAAGTCATCGATAGTGATAGGGAACATAGCGTAAGTAATTTAATGATCAACGCCATTCATGGAAGTAAGATTCAGCGAATCAAAAGTCGGAGGACGCACATCAGGGAAACTGTTCTCCTTATATTTTATAGATCGATCCACAGGGTTTCTGTTAAATTCGTGAAGAACTGTCAGCATGGATTTTACTCGATTAAATTGTTAACAGTCCACGAGCGTCACTGTATGTGATGACACGAGTCTGACACGCCAACACTGCGATAAAAAATTTTTTGACAGATAACTAGTTTGCAGCATTTTTTCACAAGCTAGTTTGTGTCGATCGAATAAAAGTTGTCGCAAAACATGAGACATCCAAGTGTATTTTTCAATATTAATGCGAATGTCTTTTGAATGGTTTCTTTGTTTCAAACAAATGTGCGAGATCTTATGATGTTAAATTTAGTTTAAAAATCAAAGATTATTTGACAGCGTTGGATTATTCAACAGTGATAATAAAGTGGAAGCAAGAAAATGATAAAATTAAAGGAAAAAAGGCAACCAAAAATATCAAAAGAATTAAATCGAAATAACTTTTAATCAGTTGAATATAAGGCAACGCAATGAGATTTTCTATAATTTTCAATCGATTAAAAGGAAAGACTAAACACTTTGAAGACTTTGCCATTAAAACTCCACGCGGTTAAATAGTGTTTTACAAGATTAATGTAAAAATGTGTTTATATGTATATAAATTATAATTATTGTTATACAATACTACTCATATTTAATTAAATGACATTGACGGCAGTTAGGAGGGACTATGAAACAATGACAACAGAACTTGAAGAAACTGACGGGGAAAAGTAATTTTACACTGATAATTTAGTTGCTCGACTCACCTAGTCTTGTACAGAATTTATGCGCGCATAGTTAATATTTGAAAAAAGGGAAAAAGGAACAAAATGAACAGTTATATAACCTTACGTGTGTATTAACCAACATAAATAATTGATAAATAAACCGAAAACTATGTGCCGCTTTTTATACGCTCAACAATGTAAAATTTTAAGAAAACATTTCAATAGAACACCTACTTTTCGATTTCATTCGTTATGTATGAAATAACAAGGGATTAAGGAATTAAGATCTAGTTAAGCACCATTGAATTCATCGAACGATACAGACACGTTAGACCAGATTTTACAAACGACAAACCGTCGTTGATTCATCTTGCAAACGTAAAGTATAAGCGAGAGTCCCGCGATAAATGATAAATGATAAAATAGTATTTTAATAAGAAGTTTACTCGCGTTCAAATATCTGGTACTAAATTAAATACAAATACCCTCTCTACCATGCTAGCATTTACGTATAAAATCGATAAATGTGTCTTGTATTCATTTATTTAAACCGTATCAACCGAAGGAAATGTAACATCTGTAATGCGGACTTGAAAATATAAAATAAGCAAAAATACGAAGACTAAAAACTGAAAACAACACTTACACTATGTATTGTCACGTTTGACAAAAACATGAAATGAAACTTCAGCATGATTTTTAGCTAGTTTATGGACATTTATTGTACCTTGACGTTGAGAAAAAGATACAGAATGATCTTCGTATTGCCAAATTGATAAACATTTACTAAGATAAATGCGCAAAGAAAATAGAAGAAAATTAATAAATCGTTGTAAGCTACGCTAAACGAGACATTAATCACTGCTTGAAGTTTGTAACGTTTTACGAATTATTATAGCAATGCGTTGTATAATTTCAATAAAATTATTTATTACAATAAATATTGGACGTTTTAATGTATTTTAGTCCACAATATATATCCATAAAAAGTATTATTCATTAGTAATGGAATCAATTTCATTTTGAAAACCAGATGATTAATATTAACCTTCGTATGCTTAAACATAGCATACAAAGAGTAATTTTCTTGATAACTGACTCAAAATAATAGAATGTAGTACTATTCTTTCTCTCTTTATTTTAATCAGTATAAAAAATTTTAATGCTATATTACATAATTGTACATTATACCTCTTGCCGTACAACATGTTTTTTTCTTTCCGAAACAAAAGGTACCGCTCCTTTTTTAGAATGAGCACGTCTGTTGGCTTCCCTAAAATAAAATAAATAAATATAACAAAAGCGTTTTAAAAATCAATGTAAAAACATAATTTAAATATCTTAGATCTTCATACGTACTTTCGATTCATTTTCTCTCGAATTGTACGTAATTCAGCCTTTGCATTGTAAATATATTTTGGAACTTGTCTATGTCGAGAAATTCGTTTAATTTGAGGATGTGCAGCAAACTTTTCTTTCAAAGCTTCACTGTAATACAACGCTGTTCTTTCTCTGGGTCTCAACTATGATTATACATTTCATAAATTTCAAAATGCTGTACAAAATCGAAAAATACAAAGTATAACTGAGAATAATTACATACCACACCCAATTTTTCCGATGCCCTTGCTTTCCACAAGCGAATATTCATTTCATCACTACCACTAATAACGAATTTATTATCAAGTGACCACCCTATGCACGTTAACCTGTGCATGCGTTTTGTATGATAAACTTCTCGAGAATGACCTTTATTTACTTCAAAAATGCGAATAGATCTGTCGTAGCTACCAGACACAAATTCTTTACCAGTTGGTGAGTAATCCACATCAATTACAGCTTCTACATGATCCATATGTACATTTACTGGTGTTTTCAACTTACGAATGTCATAAGTATAGAGACTAGAATAATAGAATAGAAAAATATATTATGCTTGACTTCTTTCTGTAATCTTCAATTTCAAATAATATAATATATTTCTTAAACTTACTTGTAGTCTTCATTGGCACACGTGAAAGTAACAGCCTCCATAGGATTCCAGGATAATTTATTTGTTCTTAATTTCATAAATACTTTCTGCAAAGGCCCTGTTTCTCTGGCATCATATAGAATTATACTACGATCACTTCCACAGGCAGCTATAAAATTTATGTATATTACAATATTGAAATATGATCATTACTAAATGTAATAACCAATCATTTTTACCAAATAAATTAGATTGGACAGGATTGTATTTAATATCGTATAAACTGTCAACACCCCATTTAAATGTTTGAATTGGTTCATTTCTAGTCTCTTCCCATAATTGACATACTTCGCCACATGTAGCAAATATTGGCTGAGTTCGATGATGTGAAATTCCAGTTATTATAGTCTGTAAAATAATATTCAGATATTATGAATCGGTACATAGCAAAGTAATATTTATTTTCTTCTTATTTTTGATATCCTACTTTACTAATGACTGTATTTATAGGTTCTTCTTGACTGAGCGACGAATTTCCCAACTTCCAAGTTTTAATAGTTTTATCATCGCCAACAGAGATAAAATTTTCACCACTTTGGCTAAATACAATTCCACGTATTATACCATCATGTGCCAAAAAGTTCGATATACACATTCTATGTGTAAGATTCCATATTCTTATTTCTCCATCAAAAGCTCCACTAAGTATAGTAGATAACTGAGAAGGATGTTTACATAAACAAGATACGCCATCCTTATGGCCTTCTAAAGATCCTACGAAAGGTTTCGCAAATAGTTTTTCTAACTTTACTGAATTTAAAGCCCTTGTATACTCTCTTGCTGATTCGAAAGGATGTAACGCTGGATCATAATTCCTAGGTACTACAATGTAAAAGATTAGTTGTTAATCCATTTGCACAAAAACAAATTATTTGTTACAAATGACAATACAGAGATATATAGAAATGTTTATGTGAAAAATTTAATTTACCATTCATCATATTTCATTGAAACATCATAGAAACTGTTATAGACTAACCTTTATATATGTCACGTTTTGTTTCTCTTAGATATTCATCTGGATTTCTTGTTAAAACTTTCACTTTCATTTTGCAGATACTTTAATTGAATAAAATTTTAATCAATGCATAAATAACTGTTCTATTACAATGTCTTGCACAGTCAGTTGAATTAAATAAAATACTTAGATATACTACACGTGGCTTAGAAACATTGCATGTGACAGTTGTAACCTAGTGACTTGACTATAGTTAGTATGTCAATGTTAGTATATTAATATGTAATGCTAATTAACTATAGTTAATAATCAAGTCAAGGTCAAAATTGACGTGTATGACGAGCAATCTACAATTAGTAACTTGATTTAAATGTGACTTGATGTGTATATTTGATATGTGGTATACACACACCCACACACACACACACACACACACACGTATATTATATAGTCACTTAGTATCTTAGGTTAGTAGTAAACGAATAAAGCAGCAAGTTGGTTTATGAACAGAACTAAATTGTTAAAAGTAAGTAATCAATTTTTTTGAACTATCATAATTTTTAAATTAAAACAATTGCATAAATCTTAAAACACAAAATAATAAACATTAAATAATTTTGATTGATTACTACAGTAAATAGTATAGAATGATAAAATACAAATCAATCCATCTTATAATATAATTCAACAAGGTCAAATTGTTATTGAAATACACGTGATTATTCTATTTTAGAATATAACTTAGTTATATGTATGAAAAAAATTGTAAAAATTATTTAAAATACTTGCACGAGTATTTAGCACAAAACAATGACATTTGAAGTATTTTTTTAATTTTATGATATTTTTTACATCCTAACATTTTTTGGAAATAAATTGAGAAACTCTGTGAAAATACATATAAACACTATGTTATTTTAAGATTTGCATCTTTTAGCATTTGAACATTCTAATGTTTATATTCTGTTACATGTATTTATACTTAATTATTATACTTTATCAATATATTATTTTATGAATCAAATAATGTATTGTAATATTACAATTTTATGAATTAATACTTTAATTTGTTGTAATATTATGGTTTTATAAATTTTGATGTAATATCTTGTACATTTGTAAAGATTGTATTATTAATAATATTAATATGACTTAGATATTATCAATTAATATTTCCTAGATTATTACTTGCTTCTGTAATTATATAAGCTAAATTCCTAAATACAACAGTGCTAATAAATAGCAGTGTTATAAAATTTTCAATATTTGTAGGATGTTCTGTATAAGATTAACAAGGCAGTTTAAATTGTCAAGGGTAAGGCAATTACATTCAACTGTCAATGTAAAAAATGAAAATAAAGTTGTTAGTGAAACATCTAAAACTGCCGAAACATCACAATCTACAGTTAACAAGGAAAAGGTTGACTTTGTAACAGGTACAAGTTAATTCTAACTTCAATATCCTTAAATAGTATATTATTTTAATAAAAAAAATTAATCTTAATTAGAGTATATGAAATTAAATTAAATTTTAATTAAAGTATATAAAAAAATTTTGCTTAGGACCACCTATGCATGCTGTATCTTCTATGGACAAAAGAATATTAGTTTGGGTCAAAAGATTTCCCAGTATTGATCAGGTACCAGATTATGTCTCGTGAGTTTTATATTTGAAATAACAGTTTCAAAATAATGTCACTTTTAGGATTAAATATGATAAATATTTCTTGTTTTGATTATTTAGTTATCAATGTATACAACATGCACATACTAAGGCAAGAATTCGTGTATGTTTTATCATGTTCTTTCTTGGAATAGTTATCTGTGTTGCAGCCGTAGTGGCTGGAAAAAGAGAAGCTGCTAGTGGAAAAAGTATAGCAACAGAGAGAGTGAAATGGTACATGGAGATAAAGAAAAAAGCTGAGGAAGAAAAAAAAAATGCTGAAAATGTACAGTAATGTTTCATTTGGTAATATACAATGATCAAATTTTTTCTTAGTAATATTTGGAATATTTTCTTAATCAGCTGTTTTCCTCTTTTATCATTTTCTAATGTTATTTGTTCTAATGTTACAAAAAATAGTTTGATGCGATAGATATTGCTTCAGTAATACGATTCAAGATGTGTAAATTACGTGTAACAAGTATCACATTATACTTTAATAATTTAATATATTTTTGTAATAAATGCAAATTAGATCATGTAATTTTAAAATGTTGAAACTTCATACTCTATGTAAAGATATTATATTAAATGAAGGAAGTTTATGAAGGAAATTTTAAAGTTCCTCTATTCAATATACATAACCTGTGTACAAAAATGACAACAAATAAACAAGATATAATTGTACTACATAAATGCAGTAACTAGATATATTTGTAATATATCAATATATTTGTAATTAAATTTACAATCATACAAAAAGGTGGTACTCGAAGTATTTTCAAAATTAATAACAATATTAAATTTCGATATTATTTGGCGGCTTGTAAAAGCTACGGCATTTTTTATAGTAAACATCAACTGTATGATCCTTCACAACTTCTTCTACGTTTAACTCAGCTTGCAATAATCGCACAGTATTTTGTTCTTTTCTCAATGCTTTGAGAAGTTGTGGATTATCATTGCCATTGTCCCTCTCAAGTTTTAGTTGCTTCACTTTTTCCCTTGATGCATTTAAACATCTTGTAATAGCCAATTCTCTTGTTTTATGGCCTGTTTGAATTTGTTCATATAAATCTTTACATCTTTCAGTAGGGTCAGCTTGCCCTTTAAATGATTCTGTTGGAAGTATAGTATTTAGCATATAAATGATTTTGTCATCGAGTTGCCGCATCTTTTTTAACGCATCCTGAAACAAAAATATAATTTCGCTGAACAATACCACGCGCTACGTTCGAAAGTACTGTGCTGCAAAATAATTAATTTCAATTTAAATCTTTTAATCACTTTTTTATTGTCATGTTTTGTACATACAAAACGTGTCGATTACTACTTAATAATTAACTCAGGCGAATAAGTCTGTTTTATAAATTGTACGTAGAATTTTATGTTTAATTAAATTCATTTCAATTTTTATCCCTAATGACAAGATCTCTCAATTATCAAAAATGCCATTTACCGTGTGAAATGTTATGTAAATCGCTATATAACCTTAATTATTTCTTTAATGTATCACATGTAGTTTTCTAAAAAGCTACAATTTGGCATGTACGTATAATTGGGATAACTGAAGTACATAATTCGAAATACAGCCCATTTTAAATAATGTTTCATTTATTTAAAAAAAAAATACCTGAAACTCTAAAAAGTCACCGCATCCTACACCTATAGTTGCCATTTTTTTAATCTGTGGAGTTCAAGTAACGTGTACAACCATGAAGAAACTGCAGAATAGATCTGCTACCCTGCGAGATTTATCATGATGTGTAGATTTTGCAAGCCTTAATTTAAGCATTTCATAGATCAGATATACTGGAGATAGAAACTGAGAGTTTAATTTGGACAATTTTGGCAATTACAAAAATTCATTGCATCATGAAAATTTGATCAATTTATGAACTCTGGAATAGTAGTTGCATGTGCCATGTGGCGCTGATATCTCTGTCCTTGTTGCATATTATTACGCTCCTTGTCGATCGATGGTGCTGCCATCCATACACCTTTCAGATTTGGCAGAAACTAAAAGAATAAAAAGAAAAAATCCGATAGTTCCGATAGTACAGGTCGCCGTCGGTAATTGACCAACGGTGATGTGTGGTAGCGGCGCGTGCACTTTTCAACTGAGCGGAACAACGGCGACAGCAAAAGAAATAGAAGAAAATAAAATAATAATAAATAGATTACAGTTTCAGTTGTAAAATGATCGTCAAAACAAGCACTCGGGAAACCATATCATTGCATATAAATTAAAAAAAATAATAGTTGTTGTGTTGATACTAAATCTTATAATATTATATACGACAAAGACAGTAATATCGATTAGTTCCACCATTTCTAGCGTTTGGGTATCCATACACTTGAAATGTAAACAAACAAACAGAAAACGCAAACAAACAAGGGAGAACAAACGAACAAAAGAAATTTTAATTATAATAATAAATAGTGGCAGATTTTCAAAAATTTAATATCAGCCAATGATGTAATACAGAGGTCAAGGATGTCCGGTTTTTAAACTTACAAATAATTTAATCACGAGTAGGGCCATTTTTCGAGATGAAACGTTTCGAATTTGCAGCAATTTTATTTCAAACGATTGTATTACAAGTATAGGAATCATTTTGTTTTCTTTTCTTTTCTCGTTACATTAAAGGTTTACACTGTACCCTAAATTTTGTAAATCCTTTGCCATTGATGCCACAGTTTCTGCAGACAAAGGTTGCTGAGGCACACGTGGAGGACCTGGATTGATGTTTGTCAACAGAGACATTGCTGCTTTCATGGTCTCTATAAAAGTTCCTGTAATAAGTGATTGTAATAAGTTAAAATTAATACATATTTCTGAATGCTATTAAGCTACTTGGCATCAAAATAAACGATTTTTCTGCAAGTACGAGTAATCAATAGGTATTGATTATTAAATACTAAGTTAATTGATTAATAGGTATTGACTATTAATTATTAAATTAATAAGTATAAAAATTCTCTATAGGCACAAGTAATTAATGAGAAATTCTGTTAAAGAATCATTAAAAAATGCGTTTAAGTTTTCCATTAATTTAATTATTCGGTAATTCGGTAATATTCCAAGATGAAGAGAGATGTTCAATTAATCTTGTACCATATTTGCCTATACTCGTCAAAACGTTTGTCAAACGTTGTTGAGTTTCTCTTGCTTTCAAGAGATTGCCTGCGTTTCCGGCTGTAAACGTTTCGACCGTGAGTTCCGGGAACATGCTTAAGCTTGTTATTATAAAAGAATTCATTCCTATTGCACAAGCAGCGTCCATCAGCTGAAACAAATGCAATAATAATAATTTTCTCACTGGTAATTAATCACGAGTCGCAGCAGGCTGAATGAACTTACGAGATTAAGATTTTCTACGATTTATTACATAATTTTTAGTGTTGAAAACCGTGCGATTAGTTTACACAAACTGACAATATTCGAATATTTTACGACACAGCGAATTCACTGAATTTGTTTTCTCAGTGCCGTCAGTATCATTCACGAAAACTGACGAACATAATAATTGAATTGAATACCTCGTTATTCCCAAGGAATACTACGAATCTGTTGTTATTGGCGCGTAAAGCTCGAGCACCTTCCTGCAAGTTGGAACTTGTGAATTTTATTCCCACGAACGTTGGAATCTCCTCGTTGAGAGATTCGAGAAACTCGCCCATGTGTACTGAAAAATTGCCGGTATATCTTCAAGTATACTGTACTCTGTATCGTGCATGAACTTGGAACGTGTGATCGCCAGGAATTGAATCAGGATCGTCACAATTGTTGATTATCGGCTTACCATTAACGTTAGTGAACATCGGAATGTGATAATACAGAAGCGGTGTGTTCGGAGCTGCTGAACTAACCAGTCTTAAATAATCTTTCAATTGTTCGGACGTGCTTGGTTTAAAGTATAATTCCGGCAGGCAAAGGATAGAATCTGCTTTGATGCTTTCAGCGTGTTTTGCCTTCGAACAATGCCATCACGTAGGTACAATACTAAATAAGACTTTGGAATTACAGAAGAAATCCTTCCATTTAACACCTCCTTTTCTACGTCTTTCGAAGATCGAAACAACCGCGAAAGATGATGTGAAAAAATGTTATTTAGCATTTGCTTTTCGTGTTAGAAAAAATTTAATTGATCAGGGTCCTAAATGGAAGTTTTAGCTTGATACGAATTGCAATATCTTTTACATACGAGTTCAAGAACATCGGGAAGAGATGCACCGCCTACTTGAATCATCAAGTGTTGCTTCGTTGTTCTAACAGCATTCGCCCAAGCCTCGGCAACTAACTTTCTCTCGCTCGTTGACATGGACGGACCTTCTCCGCTCGTTCCATTTACTATTAATTTACCACAAATTACTCCTTTGCGCTCGCGTTCTCAAATTAATGAAGAATCTTTCGCGAATGTCACGGAATTTAATTATCAATCGCGGAATATTTTTCAATCACACATTGAATTTAACACGAGCAACGCAAATGCGAAAATTTTGAAATTTTCATTCTTTGCTGATTGCGGGATGTAAGATATTTTAGTCTTAGAAATCTACTCCCCCAACCAAAAAAAAAAAAAAGAAAAAATAGACTTAATCTCTACGTACCAAGAACACCGTTGACTTTTTTGTTTGCCAAGTGGTTTGCGTACTGTGGTATGACTGACAAATTTAGAGTTCTGGTGCTAAAGTAAACAAATGATGATATTATACATACATTTCATTGAACATATTAAATCTCTGTATTTATAATTTTCTAAATTTGAGCAGAAAACTTGTATGATGTGTGTAATATAAAGTATAAGTATAAATGAAGAAAGTAGAATCTCGCTGTCAACATCGATACTCGCTGAATAATGATTTCCACACGTTGACCTTTTTATCGCTTGCCAGCCAGTTTTGTATAATAACGAAAGTATGAAAGAAACTGAAGATACCGGCCACTTTCCTCAAAATGACCAAATAAAATGAAATAAAATAAAATAGAAGTGTCAAGGATGTTACCTGTCATTATTGAACGGTGTTAATACAGGGGCGAGCAGTCCCCTAAAAGTGAACGACACTCTCTACAATGAAAGCAAATTTATTATTATCGGATAATTTATCAATATTATGTTGTATGTTATTATCTTATAAAATAGTAGTAACTGCAATTATTGCACATTTATAATTTGATCAAACAGTAATTCTTTTATATTTTTATTAGACGCTCTATAAACTTTTTCTTTCCCTTATTATATATGCAAAATATCAAACATGATCAACATCCAAAGCATCCAATCGAAAGAATACAGTAACGATGAATTTTTACATCAAACCGATAAAAATTTCACCGAGGATCGATCTGAAGGAATGTTAGACGTAAGTTCGAAAAACAATTTGTAAATAATACGATGTAACAATTGAGGTAAGTGTACGTACCGGCATTCTGGAACGTGAAGCAAACTCGTCGAGCTTCAATTGGAATATTGTACATACAAAGACGAAGAGGAATATTTTCAGCTGTGGTTCTGATAAGATTGTCTCAACTTAGTCATCAAATATCACGTGTTACGTGTTTACTGATATTGGGAATTTTTCGTTTTATAATGTTAATAGTATAATACAGCATGTACCTACATATAATATATATATATATATATATAAAACTTTCTTCACACTTTCATCTTTACATAATAAATACATTATATTTCTATATTTTTCTTCACAAATATACAATATATATCATTTCAATAATTTATATGTTTACGAAGTGAGGCAAGGGAAAACAAGATTCTTTTTCATCTACAGAGTTGTTTATATATCGATGCATCTACAATATATCTTTGACGTTTGTTTTATCTCGTGTCGACTGATATCAAAGGTCGAGGTCAATATCAAAATGACTAGAGTTATTTATAAAAAATGCTCTTTACGTTTATTTACATGTAGATCTTGCTCTTTTAACAATGCCAATGATATATGTATAACGCAATATATTATCGTAGTGGTAAGTAATATTCGCACAAGTTTCAAGATGGCCGTGTTGCGTTTTCCCTTTCACGGGACGTTACGTATTTTTGCCATTAGGTAGTTCTTTCGAAACAAGAACGTTGGAGGACTACTCGAAAGTTTGCGTAATAACGTTGAAGAGAATACTATTTAACGTTACTTGCTAGAATCGTTCTCAATTGTTGTTATCCTCTTTCTCTAGTTTTCTTCTTCTTCTTCTTCTCTTACGCTACGGTGTTATCAGTGTATGTGACATGTTGCATTAACAAAAGAATCGTTCGTTCGCCAATATCCTTCATTTCTTTCTGTTTTTCGTATTTTTCGACATATCCGACATTCACATTGTCTTGCCACGGCACTATACCGATTACCGCTCTGTATAGCACTCGCCTTAGCGATTATGATTTCTCGTCGCAGTAGATAACGATTTGTATTCGTGCTCTACGGTAGAAGTTTTTGCCATTGGCGTCAATACCATTAATGCGATGACAATTTTCGTTTTCAGTTGCTTGTGTCGATCAACCGATCAACGAAGAATGAAAATAATTATAAAATCGTGATAGATTTTCTTACGCAGAGGGAAAACTGTAATTGTACAGGAACTAAAAATACCACATCTCACTAATCGTGAGCACGAGTTAAGAACCGTTTAAATCGTGTACGTTCATCGTTTACAGTTCGACGATTTGTTAAAAGATTGTCAAAAGGATCTCTTTTCGTAGCAAACGTTTTCACACGAAAGGGGAAAGAATATATTATAGAAAAATCTCGTCAATTCCCTCGTCTTGCGTTCCAAAAACAGTCATTAAATGGAAACGTCAACGAAAAAGATTGATGGACCTTTTCTTTTTTTTTTATTTAATACGCTAAAACTTGTGGCACAAAATTACAATTTAGGTTTCTTAAGAGTTCGAGTTCGTTTCGCGCGAGACCTCGTTACGACCTATAATTGCTTGAAACGTATTTATTACCAAATGCAGTGTTAACACTTACGCGAATGCTCTAATTGCAAGTGGCGACGTAACCAGAGATGCGCAGAGCATTAGACCTAGAGAGAATGATCTGGTTTCTGTCGGACGTTTGCGCTGCTTTCATTTTTCGAAAGGTATAATAACGTACGAAAAGGCAAACGAAAAAACGTTTAATGAAAAACGTCAGGCGTGTTGATTTCTTTATTTTTATTGTTATTAAAGGAAAGCATAATTCGTCGTTTCGGAATTTGCTCGATTTGGCACGTAATCGAAATATGTATACGTATATCGAAACAGACGTGTATGTATATATATATATAGATCGAAAGAGACGTACGAACGAAAACGTTTTATTGATAATTTCGACACGCGTTTATCGCGATATTCGCTCACAACAAAAATAACGGAGCAGGTGATAATGCGACAATTAGGAAACGGAAAAAAAAGAAAAATAGAAGAAGACAGGGGCAATGAAATTCCCACCAGGGAACGGCCACTTTTAAACGCTAGTTTGAAGTCACTTCTTCCAGCTGGTTACGTTACTACTATTCGGCGAAGACTCAACGAATCAGTTTAGTTATTTAATGACTTGTTAGACGCGATCAATATCTCAGCAGTCACAATGACCCAGATTTTCGACTGACCAAAAAAGCTGTCAATGAGCGAATGCAGTGAAAACGATCCGCATTCTACACTGTGTATGCGTATACGTATGTATATCTCAGTTAATACATACATGTGATATATTCATATATTTGTATATCATAAAATTCACACTTATGAAAAAGACATATCGTTTCAATTAAGGTAGATTAACAGCCGTGGCCGGACCAGCCTGGTCACGCGGCAGAAAATTGTTTCTTTCTTATTAATCTTTTCTTTTTTTTTTCTGCTTATTATTACTTCTCTTTGTTTTTCATTTTTCCTTGACTTCGACTCGTACTCCGTACAAAAAAATGCAGCGTTATACGTATATATATATTTCATAGCTGTCGAAAGTAACTCGTACGATTTGAACCCGATAACAATTATAGCTCTGAACCTGCCGTTTCGATTTTTCTTCAAAATTGTCAATCGATGATCGAGAATGTCAGTTCTTTGTTAATTAACAATTAGCGGTTGCTAGTTAGACATTTTGAACGGGCAACAATTAATGTAAATCTGATCATTCGTCGCATACTTTTACAACAGAGCAAAGCGAAATTATGTCGTCGCTGTGATATAAGTTTTTATTATGAAAAGGCTCTCCTAAGTTCTTTCGACACGTGTAAGTGTAAGTATCCTCCGCAACGAGGAAGCATCGATTGTTATCAAATCACTCAGTATCTCTGGATGCATGCATGCGTCTGTATGCCGCGAGTGTACGCATATGTGTACGTGAGAGTACGTTTTCATACGCGAGCATACGTGTACGCATAGGCGCACATAGCTGTATATTCGTATTTGCGTGTCGTTTTATAATATGTATTACGCGTACATGTTTTCTTAATGTAACAGCTACTGAAGAACCACGGATATGTACAATAGGGATATGCCCGATGGATACAAGGTACACATTTCTCTCTCTCTCTCTCTTTCTCTTTTTCGCAAGCACACTGCATTCTTCGTCCTTTTGTCTCTCCTCGAATTCAATTCGATGAAAAAAGGGGGATAATCGAGTCGATCACCAACAATTTACATTGTTCCCTATCGGTCTAACAATCCAAGTAGAACAATCCAAAGTATTCACGATCCACGCGTTGTCCTTTTCAATTTGTATTCGCGAAACGTTTGGATTCTGTGTTATATACAGGGTGGGCCAAAAGTCACTTTCTACTAAAATAAATTCGTAACTTTTTCATTATATATATATGTGTGTATATTTTTTTTTTTACAAATTTTCAAAACACGATAAAAGAGTCACGTTTGAACTTAAATTTAATTTAAAATTAATAAAATTTTTCTTACTTTTTTGTTTTATCAAAAAAAAAAAAAAAAGAAATATAGATGGGAGGGAACTTTTGTCTCGCTCTGTATAACTGCAGGTTATCCTTCGCACGTTCCAACCTTTGTTCGTTTCTATTTGCGTTTTAAATTTGATGTTCCACGTTAGCTAGCACGTGGCCAAAGGACGAAAAGGCGGCGAAAAAAAGACTTTGCACGCGCGCGCGCGCCGTGTAAGTCTACATAAAATGTTAAGTATATGTACCTGGTGCAATTAACTCGCGAAAAACTCGATTGCGTCTTTTTAAATCTCGTCGAACGTCGGGATCCCATCGCCCTCCCCCTCCCCCTCCCCCCTCTCTCTTTGAAACTCCATCTTGGAATTCGTTCTCAACAGTGCGTTCCGCGCGTTTCGTTTTTCGTATACCTTATACACGGAAGGAAAAGAAACTTAATACTGCGTCGTTTACATACGTTGAAATGGCCCTTGAGAGCACGTCCGAAAGTCGAGTGATCAACGAGTATGGTCCCAAAAGTTTTAAGAAGTATAGTTGCTTCGTTCTAGCACGGTGTACAACGTAGCTTCCGTCTTATAAATACTCTCAACAAATGCCTCGGTATCAGCCGTAAAGAAGGGACTTCCAAGCATAAGCGCCGTTACGAGATCGAGATATTGACATGACGGTGAACGATGAGAGAAAACAATTTTACGTTCCGCGCGATACGATTCGTCGATTTAACGTCATTAACCGCTTGCGCTGGCAACCGGATTGCGGACCATAACGAGTGACCAGACCGTATTCAATAATTCGCCGCTTTCTTTTTCGACACTCGTCGGTGTGACATCGCCGGAATAGAAATCCATCGAGAAGTGATAAATTTATTATTTCTTTTGCCAGTGTAGTTGGTTGTACTTAAATATATTTAAAACTGAGAAAACATTGCAACTTTCGGACAAAGAGTTCTCGACGCACGTAGCACGCAAGAGGTTAACGAGTAATTCGAAGCTTAGACATGACGTTTAATTTGTTCAACGTTCAATTCTGAGAGACTCGCCGAGATCGATCGTTCAAATACATACACTTTTTCACGTGTTTTGCAAATCCGTAGCGACGCGAATGCTTCTGAAAAGTTTCTTTCCTTTTTTTTTTTTCTTTTTACTTTTTATAACAAATAGCAGCTTGGTTCAAAGAACTATCGCCTGTAGTAGGTTGTCTCTGTTCTACCGTTCGAAAGACGTCCGTTGTAAATCGATGATATTCTCGATGCCGGGGGTTTTGTCCGAGACTCAAGGAGCATCGAAATTAACTACAACAATCAATTATCGTTATTAGTAGCCCTTGTTTGCTTCTATGTACACGCAGAACGTATCCACGATACTTGCTGCACACTATTACACTGTAAGTAAACAGTTTTTTGGCGTATGCGAACGTGGTTTCCTTCGTGCATTCTCTCTTCGTAAAAAAAAACCGTTTGTGTCAACCTTTCGATGAAGATTGCCTATTCAAATGAACGAAACTAACGTTAAACAACGCGTTGAATTGACAGACGTCGTAGATATCGTATAAATACTTGTTCGGTAGTATTTGTACGAAACAATTACGTATATATATATATATATATACTGTATGTGTATTGCACTTGTACAAGTGTTTTTCTCCCCTTATATTTTTCTTTTCTCTATTACACACGTACGACAATACTTGCACGAGATTTGAAAAGAGTCTTTCCATTTTCATGAACTTCATCGAATATAATACGCATCATCATAGTTTGCTTCTAATCAATTTCCTGCTACGATATGGTACTGTAAGAGATTCACAATCTCGTCAACGGATATGTCTCTCAGGGAAAGTTAAATTTTCATCGTTGAATCTCTCTGGAAATACTTTACCAAAGTGGTAAAATTTGTATCAATTATCTAGATTAGTGGCTGCCAATCTTTTTTCTCTGCCGTACCCCTTGATTAGGCTTTCCATTTACTCTCATTTTGAGTATCCCCTCAGAAACTCCCACCCATGCCTCAAAAAAGTTTGTTCCTTTTTCAATTCTTTTTGTAGGTTAACCAAATAATCAAACGACTCAAATTGACCTAATGACATTTCAAATTAGAATCTCTGTGACTCTTATTTTTCTCGTGTTCTCCTTTTTTTTTTCGGTGTTTTCCGCCATCATCAATATTATTTTCCCTCAAGTTGAGGTATTTAGATCTGAATTAGATGATCAAAGTCGCTCGTAACGTTTCAAAGCGTTACGTTCGCGACATTACGAGGTACATAGTTGAAACGTAGATAACACAATAAAGTAAACACGATAGTTTCGACGTAAAAATTGATTTTAGCAAGATTTTAGTCGTTTAGCTTCAGGTTCGTTTCAAGTTTTAACCTATTGTTTTAGATTTAAAACGTACAGCAGCTTAGACTGCACAGACAATTTGTTTACTTCATAACTACGGCTGTATTTTTTTTTTTTTTCATTACTATTATTATTATTATTATTATTTCTTCTTCTAATTTGTATCTAAAATCGTATTAGTTGTATTAAAAGTGAGAGAGTTTTACTTTGGAGTAAAGTCTTGTTGCGCGATTTCGTTCTTTTGTTTTTCCCCTCCCTCATTCGCGGCTGGATCATTGAATTTTGTTTCATGCCTCGTGACAAACATTGTTCGTTAGACACATTCGGAAAAACGAGTAAAAGATGGATGGAGGAAGTGGCGTCGAAAAATATATTAAGGAGCGCAGCGACGCCACGAAACTTGTTGTTGCGAAACTTTTTACTTTTGTACAATTCTGGAAACGGCACGCCAAGACAAAACATCGCGAACGCTGCCGAATGTAACATTATTGGGAAGCACTTTTCTCAAACAGTGGCTCGATCAATCTGGAAAACTCTGGACAGATATTTTCAATTTTTGCAAGTGGAAACGCTTGCCGTTTCTAGAACCACAGAGTCGAGGATAAAGATCGTGAGTTGCTATGGGGAGGGGGAGGGAGGAACTATTCGTTGAAGACTGGAAAGTTCGTTCGGACAGACAGTAGTTGGTGGAAGACAAAGGATAATCTCTCTTTATTCGTGACATCGCTGGGCCCGTCGCAGATAGATTTTTATAATATTAATATTACACTTCGTCGCTAATTATCTTCACCTATTGTATATAGAGTTATACCGTGGAAAATTAGGCAAGCGGAGCACATGTCCTTTAAACAATCGGAACGATAGTCAAGAGTGAAAAAGAACTCGACACTCCTTGGTCTCCGTATTTTATAATCTACAGTTTACGCTTTCGCTTAACACATCTATCCGGGGGATAAAAGGGAGTTTGCAAACGACTGCAAAGATTCAACATCGATATCTCTACTACTTTCCTTCCACTTGTTCTCCTCGCTCTCAACAATATACATAATACACAATACACATGGTGTAATAAATACGACTTTCGAGTGGCAATACTTCACGCGCGTGAATTAACATCTCTCTCTCTCTCTCTCTCTCTCTCTTTCTCTTTCTCTTTCTCTTTCTCTCGCGTTCAAGATTCCTCGTGTGCTCGATCGGATCGATAATAACCGAGAGAGCATAATGCAGCTATATATACGTACGCATATTGCCTGCATTGCGTGATCTTGTAACAAACAAACGTTTAAACAAATCCCCAATGCAAGTACGTGTAGGCTTGGTACGTAGCAGAGATTTTGCCGCGGCAAAACCGACTTGCGTGACTTCGAACGGGAATATGGAAATAATACTGCTGTTTCATAGGTTTCCTTTTATTAAATACTAGCTGTAACAAGTGATTTTTTTTTTTTTTTGCCTTTTCTTTTTTTTTTTTTTTTCGTTTAACTCTATAACTGTTTTAACTTACTTCATTACGATCTCTCTCGAGAACTTTGCCATACGACTTTGCCCTTCTCTGTCAGAGTGGCGTGCTTGTGTTTTCATCGAGTGGACGAGTTTTAGAGTCGTGAAATGTTTCACCTACTTGGATACTTCGCTTCTATCGCACCTCTAAGCATACATCGATGATAGAGCTTGACTAGACGTCTCGTTTCTCACTCCTGTAGACGTAGACTCCTCTCTTAATTCGCGTGGCTGCTCTTCATTTTGCCTCTTTTTCTACGGCGCAAACGCCAGGAAGAGCGATGGAGAAATAAACCATGTTAACATCGAGTATCGACTCGAGAAAAGAAAGTCACCAATCACGAGAATTTTATTGGTGATATTATATTTCATTTGTGACATTCGTTTCGACAGATACCTAACGTTCGGAAGGAGAGATCATGCAGCCCAAAAATTACAGACAGAAAAAGAATGAAGGAAAGGAAAGAAAAATCGTTTGTTATTGTCATTGAGTAAAGTTTTCATTATTTCCTGACGATTTCAAGGAATAAAGCAAACGCTTGTACTTGCTTGTACTTTGGAAGATATCTTTTTAAACTTTTATACTTTATACTTTAATTAATCTCTTTAAACAATTACTTTCATTGAATGGGAAACTATGCGAAAAATTAATTGCAACGAAACGTTCGAATGAAAACGTAAAAAACCGAACAGCTACGTGCGACTGCATGATCGATACGACTGCACGTTGGCCGTGCAACATTCGCAATGATTCGAGATTGTCGCGAATAAAACAACTTGTAAAAAACGAGTCAGGTACTTAAAGTGCAAGCGTTAATCACTCGGAAGGGCAGGTCAACGCCTACGTATAAAAATGAATCAGGTCCCGCTGTAAGTTAGAACGTACGTTCGATTAACGAGAAATTGGTTTTGGAACTGGCTTCGTTTTCAAAATAAAATCAAGCGACTCTCTGAACCAGGCTTCTCCTCGAAGCCTCGTTTGCCGCAAACGTTTCTTTCAAGTCTGCAGAATTGTTAAGTATACAAATATACACGCGTATTAAAATATATCGTATAGATTAGAAAATATATGTATATGCATGTAGTATGTAAAAAAATATGGAAAACAGAGTTAGAATGAATTTAATTAACAACGAAAAGAATCAATCTAATCGAAAACTAAACTAAACTCTCGATCAAAAATATCTCATTTGGAAACCTAAGCTGACTTTCATCATTTTCTTCGCTTCTCTCTTTCTCTCTCTCTCTCTCTCTCTTTCTCTTGAGGAACTGGATTTCCTTTCAAAACCACGTCAACATTATAATTTGTACATTCACGTATACGTGTAATACTAATATGACTAGAATAGTGTGGCTAGAAACGAAGAACTTTGTCGAGAACGGCTCCGCCGTTCAAATTGTTTTCAAATTCAGTTTCGGAGTTTGGATAAACGTTGGAGTGTTCATCGCCGATGACCAAATAAAACAAGACGTAGATGCTATCATAGAGATGAGATGAGATGAAATTCTCGGGCAGCGCGTAAATGAGTCAACAGGATCGTCTGAACATATCGTAGCTTCAACTTCGAATACGCGTGTTCTGCAATGTTACGTCCAATCAAACTCTGTCGGAACCGATGGTACCGGTGTTTTTTCTTAATCTCCAAGTAACGGGTGCGCAAAGACCCGCAGATTACGCACGTTTAAGCAGCGCTGAGTGTACCTTTAGGCTTAGTCCTTTTGCTTACTTGCATGTCGTAACAACATTTGACATCATGTTCATGTTTGAAGAAAGATAGACTGGCGTTCCGCCTTTACCGCGAATTTAGCGACGATTTAACTTACGGTTGGTTCCTCCGAGCGGCGAAGATCGATGAAATCGACGTCGCCCTTGACTGCCACTATGACTTCCAGACTCTCAATTTTCTCAGGGACACTTTCTTCAGGTGAAGAGCCGCGTTCAAGATGTCCGACTCGCGCGTGTCTTCGCCATCGGAGTGAACCTCCCTCCTGCGACCGTGCATCAGCAGACGATGTCTCAGCCCCCTGGAAGTGGGATCGGACAGCGCTTCGGAGACAGGGACCTTCTCCTTGCTGGAACCTGGCAACGAGACGGATCTTCCCACGGAGAAGCCTTTGCTCAGTCTGTCCAACGTGGCTGGCAGCAGGTGCCGCCTCGGTATCGCTTGTTCCCTCTCTCTCAGAATGAATCTGCCGAGCGTCTTCCAAAATGCCTGCGTGCTGTACACGTTCTCGTCGTCGCGTAGAACTCTCAGTTGACGGCTGCCACTGCCAACAGCCCCGGTCCCGCCCCACTCGAGTTCCTCGACCAACGCGAACTTCATCGGATCTTCCATCCTTCTGGCCTTCACCAGAGCCTGGGCCAGCACGTCCTGGGCCGAGCTGCTCACAGGAACGCGTAGTATCGCGTACGGTATGTCCGGCGAGACGTTGTAGATGCAAACCAGGAAAGTGTCGGCCTCGTCCCAGATGTGAGTGGACGTGTCCCTCTCGGAGTCGAGCTTCGAGTGACCGGCAGTGCTTCTGATCGAAGCTAGCCAGGCTCTGCTGCTCGGATCGTCGCCCACCCTTTTCAGCAGGAAACGTCCCTGCCCTTTCCACAAAGCCTGCGCCTGCAACGGCCGCTCCGTCGGGTCCAGTACACGCTGCGTCGGAAGTTCCTCCCTGTCCCTTTTCTCCCAGCCGCGGGACACCTCCTCCACCAATATGTACTCGTCCACGCGGTCCGCCGATATCCCAGCTTTCTGCAGAGCCTGCAGCATCACCTCCTGCGTCGTGCTCTCCTGCGTCACCTTCAATATGGTGTACGGCTCGTCCGGTATCACGTGATAAACCATCAGGAAGAACATTCGCCTCTTGAGCGTCACTCCGCCCAGACCAGGGTCGACCGTGGTCAATTTCTCCGGTTCCTTCCCCGACGAGGGCCGCTTCGACGACTCCTTGTGATCGCGGCAGCACGTGTTGTAGTCGAGGCTCTCCTCCTCCAAACGGGAGTAGATGAAAAGCGTGGAGAGGGCGAGAGGCTTGTTCTTGCAGGAACGCAAACGCACGTGCCTGTAGCCGGGCTTCAGGCATTTCAACGGGATGACCCGCTGGGCGATCAGGTGGTGGGAACTCGCCTCGACGATGCCGAAACGGAGGAACGCCAGGTCCTTGAACATCACTTGGAAGCAAAATTTCTCGTTCCAAATGGGATTCAACGCGTTGCTCTGGATCACTTTCGTCTTGTGCTTGGCGCAATCGATCGGGATGCCGACCAGCTCCACTTCGACGTACGTGCTCGCGACGAAATTCGTCGGGGAGACGTACTGACCGGAAACTATCGAGAGCGTCAGGTGCGCCGAGTGTAGTCCGTCGAACTCTTTGTCCCACGGATTGAAGCGTCTGCAATTATTTCGATTCGTCGAAAGTCAGAAGATTCGAAAACTTTCCTTTATCGTTTACGTTTTCCTCCATACAATAAAAAAGAAACCTTAAGAAACGTACCTGTACATCATGTGTCCCTTGTCCCACATGACCGAAGGTTTCCTAACGTATCCACACTGGCCGTTTTGCTCGAACATGGCAGCGTTCAAATTCAAGCCGGCGTCGTCGGTTTGGTAATTCAGCGCCACCATTTGGATACCGAACGCCCAGAAGATCACCGGGTTGAAATTCGTCGAGTCGATGCGCATCCCAGCCGGATACGTTCGTATCAGTTGGGTCTCTGCGTGGGCGACAACCCCTAGAGGCTGCTTTCTGCAAATCTTTTTCGCTGTACTTTCGTTCAAGGACGAACACTGGAAGCAGGCTGGAACTCCACGCGTGAATCTGACACAAACATTTTCGAACGATTTTATTTTTACAGACCTTTCGTTTTAGACTGTGTTTTAAACTAGGCCGACAAGACCGTGCGATTTTTTTTCCAATTAGTTAGTTGGCTGTAGGCGTTGTGAAATGTCAGTAACTGACTCGGTTCAAAGGACATTTCGAGCCTGCTCTTTTCAAAAAATTGGCCAAGCGTTTGTTTAAAAATGGAAAATCGAAACGAGCATTTTCGACGCATTTTATTGTTTTATTTTAAAAAAGGAGTGATAACCGGCTCAAAGTACTTCAAAAACTACGGAGCTTCACGAAGGAAGATTATTGTTTTTTGAATTGCTTCCAATGATTAATTCGAGCGTGTACCATCGACAATTAGACGACTCAAGTAATGCCATTTGTCAAAAATCAAAAACCCAGAATTAGTGAGTCGCAAAAGAGTTGTCTTTCATCACGCCAGACTGTACACGTTACTGAAGACTCGTCATTGAAGAAATTGTCACATCCTCCTTGCACCATCAGACTTTCACTTGTTTCGCTCTCTTCAAAATTCTTTAAGGGTTCTTAAAAGACCAGAACTTTTTCGAAGCTGCCAGAAAAATAGCAAAGAACAATAGATCAAAATGGTCAATACAATTTGTCAAAGTTGTTTTGACAAATTTGTCAAATATTTTTAAAATAATATTTATTTATATATATATTATTTTTATTTTCTTTAATTTTTCTATTTATTTTTTATATTATTAATTATATATAATTGTTATATTATTTTATAATTTTTTATTATATATTTATCTATCCTATTTCCTATTTCTTAAAAATAATATTAAATTTTTATATATTTTATATATAAAAATTTAATATTATTTTATATATTTTATATATTTATATATTTAATATTATTTTACATATTTTATATATTTATATATTTAATATTATTTTATATATTTTATATATAAATTTTTATTATATTTGAAGGATTAACAATTTGAAGGATTCGTTTGATATATCAAAGAGCTGTGCATTATTTACTTAGGGGGGAAAAAGAATCCGCACGGCACTTGTGCCAGAGCTAACAAAAATTCACTCAATGGGAGGAAACGAACCTGAAGAGATTTTCGATATTGCTGCCGCCGCTTGCGAGCGATGCCGACGTCGACAGAGACTGGGGAGACCCGGAGGATGCACCGATGCTCGTCGCTCCAATCCCGGCGATGCTGTGCCTCTGAACTGGCCCGGTGTGCGGCTGATGACGCACCTTGCCGGTGCTGGTTGTTCCCGGTGTTGTGTTCAGCCCGCGGAATTTAATAGCTTGCAGGTAAATCACCAGGTCGGAGAGTTCCTTGGCAATTTGGCTACTCTGTTTCTGCGACTTGTCGTCGACCGCGGAGTCGGACTTTAATCGACCGTGCGGCACCTGCGTTCCACCCAAATACCTTTCGTAGCTGGAAATTGAGTTATCTGCAAGGTAAAACTTTCACGTTAACTTCCCCCTCCGTTGATTAAGCAAGTAATTAGTTAACTTCTTGCGCCCGATAGTTCCAGGATTAGTTTCTAGGCACGATGCCTTTTACGTGGCCATGTAAGTTAGGCATTGCAACAACTAACGCCGCCCCGTTCGCTTTTGTCCCCGAAACGCGGTTAAAGAGTTATTTGTAATTATTCGCGAGGAGGGTGTTTCTTCGTCTCGGAGACACAGGGCAGGAAAGTTTCGCTTCGTCAACGAACTAAATTAGAAACGGACGAAATAATACACAGCCGCCGCGGGTATTTGGGTCAAGCCACGGATTGAGAAAGATTAACATCGACAATATTTTCCGGAGGAATTCCGAGTTTGCGGTGGATATTAATAAAAGTTTGCTTCTTGCATCATAAATGGATAAAGACAATGAAATCACTGCGAGAAACTTATTTGGAACTTTGTATTACATTAAACGAAACCGGACAAATTTAGTTGAACAATTATATTAAATAAGAAGCCGAACAAGTCGGACAATTTTAGTTTTCCTGTGTCAAATGTATATATGAAATAGTGTCGGACAAATTTGGTTTCCCTGTGTGTGTGAAATAATTGTGTCAAATAAAGTTGAACGAGTCGAGGAAGTTAAAGTTTTCCTGCACGGGCCGACACGAACGTCGGAAGGAGGATAACTCGTAGGAAGAAAGGGAAGTAGAAAATTTACCGTCGATATTGTCATCTTCGTCGTCGTCCTCCTCGTCGTCGTCGTCCTCGCTAAAATATTCAACGACGGAAGCGCTGCTCACGTCGGTACGCATTTGCTTCATGGAGGAAGCTCGATCGGACATGAGCATTTTCCCACGATGACTAAGGGGAGCGTGCGCCAAAGGGCCGGCCGGGTCTACCACCAGCTTCTTGTTTTTGATTAATATTCGATAGCGCAACTGCGACGGCGATGGCAGCTGAGGGTCATCGCTGAAGTCGCTCTCAAACAAGAACTTCGTCACCAGTTTTTCGCCGAACACCGACTGTTGAAACGAGAGTTGATGTAAACTTTCGTTCGCTTCGTCCCGTTAAAATTTTCAAGCAAAGTCACGGAAACACGCCGAGAAAATAATAAAAATGAAAAAAAGAAAAAAAGAAAAAGGAAAAACGAAAACACCTGGTCGATGTACGATAAAACTGACAGAGTGAAATTTCGTTGGGAAATTTGTTCACCGTTGAACTTTTAAAACAGTCTCGGAGCATTTTCATTCAACCCCTTGCGCTGGCAACTGGTCCGCGGACCATAACGAATGACCGAACCGTACATTATACAATAATTCGTCGTTTTCTTCTTCTTTTGAACTCGTCGGTATGATATCGCTGGATAGAAATTATTTAAGATAGAAATTAGAAAAGTAATAAATTTATTATTTGCTGTGCCTATTTTTGTTTTACTTAAATATACTTAAAACTGAGGAAATATTGCAATTTTGGGAGAAAAAATTCTCGACGTGCATAGCACGTCATTCCAGCGCAAGAGGTTAACAATTGAGAATACAAAATGTTTTCTGCTTTTTTATTCTCTTCATTTCTCACTTTAAATCAGCGTCGCCGCCATTAAACTCGTTTTTTTTTTTAATATTCGCTCGTAATATAAATAAATAGATTACGAGATTTAACAATAACTATTTATTTTAATTCATAGTGTGACAAGATTTTTATGACGACCGATTTTTGCTTCGATTGATCATTTAACCACTTGCGCTGGCAACTGATTGCGGACCATAACGAGTGACCGAACCGTATAAAATAATCCGTCACTTTCTTTTTCTTTTGAACTCGTTGATATCGTTAGAAATTATTAAGAAGTAACAAACTTATCACTTGTTTTCACCTGGGTTACATTTAAAACTGAGAAAAAAATGTTGCAAAAAATTCTCGACGTCCAGCGCAAGAGGTGAAAATTTTCGTCAGACAACGAAAACGAAGAGGCAAGTGGAAAGTTAATTAATCGGCGTAAATTAAGAGTACGAACTATGAACCGCAACGTACTTGAAATATTTGAGCCATTCGAGCTTGCTGGCTCTGCGAACAGTGATTCTCGATGGACAGAATCACGGGATACGGAGAACTGACGAAAGCACTTCTGTCAATCGCCTCTACGACCGAGCGAAATGGTATCTTCGTGGTGAAGGTGTGACCGTGGTAAATAACTGGAGACCCATCGTCCCCGTCCCAGCAATCCAGCTCTACACATCTACATCCTGTTAGCAGTACCTGAAAACGGAAAATGAACTCACCCTTACATCGAGTATTCTGCGTCGCATATTTCAGACGCTTCTACAACATTTTCTTTCGCAAAATTAACAATGTTTCTTGCAAACATTGATTGTTATGAAAAATCATCACAACAAATTTTTTTTTATTAACAATTATAAAATTTACTACATTTTCTTTATCATTTTATAAATTTTTGACTTAATTCAATAATTTGAATTAATTTTGAATAGAATTTTTATATCAATTTACATTAATATTAATTTTTTATTGAAAAAATTCGTTTGCATGTTCTATCATTCAGTGATATTTCAATAACTTTTATATATTTATTAAATAAAAAACAGTTCTCATTATCTACTATTTTATATTCAATTATTTCATATTTTATTACTTATTTACTAATAAAATTAAATTTTAGAAAATTACCCATTATTTTTAACTTTCTAAACTATATTGTTAAACTATGAATATTTATTTACTCGATATTGCCATTTGTCATTTACATTTATATATTAAAGTGAAATTTTCATCGAAATTTTGTAAAAAGATACTTTGCAGCGTGAAATAAAATAATCGATCGACTGACAGGAATCTCAAACGAAGGGAATTCGCGAGATTAGAAAATTCGCGGGACAAAGTTCTCGTTTACCTGAGAGTAGAGCTGCACCGAGGACTCCCCCTTGAGCTGATGGCCGGTTAAATAAGTATTATGGGAGCTGGCGATGTAATACTGGGACAGTGGCTGTTGCATTTCAGTCTCGAACGGTGTCGCGTACTCGTTTGGGAAGGCATAATTGTCCTTGTCCATCATGTATCGTGCAAAGCCCTCGAAAGACAAACACCACTGTGTACGTAGCCCTGGGTCCGGTTCGTGTCTCTGCAATCAGAGCGAAATGGTCTCGGCTGATTGTGCCACTTGCTTGTATCTTTGCGCGCATTGTACAGCGCGACCTCGGGATAACGGGACAATGTCACAATTGTGTCACACAGCCTAATTCGAACTGATCAAATGCGTCACGCGACTTGCTGATTTAGGGGAACGTCGCTGCTTAAATAAGTCAATAATCGATACCGGGATTTCATCTCTCTGGCATTTGATATTGACGGTGTAATTAGAAAAGTAAAGTATGTCATATATTTCGGAGGGTGAAACTTGAAGAAGAAAAAAAAAAAAAAGAAGAAGAAGAAGGTCGAAATTCGGTTTCGATACCTTGACCAACGCCTTGATCTCGTCGTCGGTGAGTTTCTCCTGCTGCCGGGACTCCAAAAATTTAGTGAACGTCGCCAGAGTAATAACTTGCGATTTCGAAGTGTCGACGCCGGAACAATTGTTAACGATGCTGGCTGCAGCCACCGCGTCGAACACCTGTTTCTTCTGGAGGTTGCTGCTGGTTTTGTACTCGTGACAGTCTATCGAGTTGTTTCTCGTCAGCAGTCCTGTTCGAAAGTGCAAAGTGGACACGAATATTTATAACGAAGCGAAAAGAAAGGCCAGGGCCGCGATTGTGCGCCATTTGTAAAATAATATTTGGTTTCGCGTAAGAATTTTTCTAGTACACAAATCTTCAAAATTAATTAAACTTGTTTTATCTCTGAGGAGATATTCCATATACAAGGTGTCCCATTTCAATCTTTCATTTTAAATGCAATTATTTATTCGAAATTATTCTCAACGTCATTTCAAACAAATGCATTTTTTTTCTTCTGTTTTCAGAGCGTAGTGATTTGGTAACTTCTACTATTATTTTTTTAAGTATAATTATGCAATTTTTGTCAGGTATAATTTCAAGTATAACTAAAGTACTAGCCTATCTACGCCTAAAACCAATAGACATTGTAAAATTGTAAAGTTCAAGTATCTCCTAAACTAACATTAATCTTAATTTTTAATAAGAATTGAAATACTTTCAATACTTAATACATAAAATATTTTTTCAAGGTTAATACTTTTTTTTTTACAGAAAACGACCTGCTGCGTCGACTGACGTAATTGTACTTGAAAAAATATTGACTTTCATATCTCTATCTAGTTCGAAAGTGCAAAGTTGCGCCATTTGTAAAATCTTCATAATGATGTAGTAAAGTTAAGCGCTTTAATTTCTATCCTCGTTATTTACGCTACTATTTTACAAAAGAGAAAAAGAAGAGTACACAGCGACGTAGAAACTGACCGATTCGTTGAGGGGTTGCGTCGCTGGTTTGCCTCAACACAGGCGGCCGTACGTTGAAGTCTCTCAAAGAACCATCGCTCTGGCTGCGACAAGTGATGGCCAGTTGGCCGAAAAGGTCGCGCAAATCCTTCCTCGCTCTCAGGCTGAACGAACGGAACAAAGCGACAAACTCGACAAAGTTCAACTGGGTTTCGTATATTATGGAAGTGGTGCGCGCTTTCACTTGCCACGGTGCTTCCATCCCTCCTGACATTCCAGATCCGTTTTTATCCTTGTCTCTGGCCACGCACAATAGGCTGCGCAAAAACACCCGCGTTATCTCGCTACATTTCGCAAGACTACAATTTCGTAAGTCGTAACAAAAGAACGATTACTTGAAAAAAAAAAAGAAATAGACTTGATGAGAGAGGAATTAAATAAATTGCTCGAGTCTTTATTTTACTTGTTTAGTTATTACTGTGAAAATTTCATGTTTAATGCATTATTAATGCTTCGAAAATTAAATATCGAGAATAGATTGAAATTACATTCAGATGTAAAATGTAAAAATATTCAAATGGAAATGGAAAGAATTTCGCGTTCAATTGGTCGAAGGGAAAGTTAAAATAATACACATACGCGTATTAAAGTACACAAGTTACAGTCTTCGTTCACTTATTCGTAACGACGATTTCACGTTCGAACATGAAACATACGTAATAACTGACAAATGACTGATTGAACGAAACGTTTCGAAAATTAAATATCGACGCGACAGGCACCATTGCCAAAATTATACTTAAACGTAACAAAGAAAGTTTTTGGAAAGAATTTTGAAAGTTAAAATAACAGGCGTAACTGTGATTGAAGAATATAATTTCATGATTCAATTAGTTATACAACAATGAACCTAGTTTCTCAGTTCGCTAGCTCTCAATCTGTTGCAGTGCCAGCGAATGACAATGTCCAATCAATCAACAGCGGAAGTAATGAAAATCTATCAGGAATTCCGTACCAGCGGGATCGATATATTCCAGTTGGTATATATTCTTTACTTTCTTTCGCTGCAAGACAGAAAATGATAGAGAGACCTCCTTACCTCTGAAAGCTGGAGTAAGGCAAGTTGGAGCTAATAATTCGTTCGGCAGACCCGGGAGGACTGCGTGGAGGAATTCGATCTCTGCTAGACCGTGGAGATGCTGGTATGATTCTCGTCAAGGATTCTCTACTGCCCGTCATGTGCCGGGAGGGGACCGTCGACAACCCTCCATCCGAGGTCGAGGAATCATATTGTTTTAGGCTTAAATCCTGTTTCAACATGTACTTTTAATACGATCGATTAGCACCTTCACCACCCACATTCTCTCTTTTTTTTTTTTTTTTAGAACTCTGCTAGATTTTGTTCTTCCTTGAAGAGAGATTTCTCTGTTTTTTCTTCCCTACGTATAAGTTTTGGATCAAACTTTGAACCTTTGTTTGTTCTAAGCTTAACCTTCTAAGGACGAGGTATTTAAACAGCCCCCTTCGCTAGTGGACGGATTTAAATCGCCAGCGAAGTTTAATTTTACACGTTTTCATATAAATTATTGTAGTTCCTATATGTTCAAAGTTAATCAAATCAAATAAAGACTCGAGCTATTCGAAACAAGAAGAGAGAGACCATCGATATATCGGAAATTCGGCTTTCTCAGATATTACATAGACGTCGATATATCGGACGTTAGTACTTAGAAGGTTAAGGGTGTATTCTGGTAACCCGGCTTAAAAGAAATCAATTTTTGTTTACATTTTCTCAAAGTATATACTTTCGAAAATGTCCATGTGAAAAGATTTGTTTGAATTCGTAAAATTGGCAAAGTTATAGATGTTTAAAAAGGAAACGCTGTACTGCTCGCAACGTAAGTATGAATATTTTTGTACAACGGATAACGAAAACTTCAAATGTGTTTTTCTCGAAAAATATTTTATTTTATAATATTATTACTTATTTTTATATTATTATTATTTTATAATATTTTATTTTTCTGTACTGCTCGACTGATTGTAAGTATGAATATTTTTGTACAACGAATAACAAGAACTTCAAATGTGTTTTTCTCAAATCCATATTTTTGAAACTGGCTGGCAGGATATCTCACGTTTTAGTCGACCGATTCACTTGAAATTTGGAAATCTTCACCGAGTGTACTTTTATCGCATGAACCACGGATTTCAAAATCTAATGTTCGGTCTCTTTAGAAAAAAAATCCCAAAAAAGGTCGATTCTCTCAAGCCAGATTACCAGAATATCCCGTTAAATTCTGTTTCAACGATCGATTAGCACTTTCACCAGCCACAAAATATTTTCGAAGGAAGAACAAAACATCGCGAGATATTTATTTCTTCCTTTTCCCTCCTTTTTTTTTTTACGTGTCTCTCTAGACAGAGAGACGCTCTAAATAAATTTGGGATTGAACAAACCTTTGTTAACGCGTGAATATTGCCGATAGATTTCGTTTTTTTCCCTTTAACGTTTCGTTTGCGAAGAGCGCTGCTACTCGTTGGCGAAAGCGTGCCGATACTCTCAGTCGTGGACCAATCGCGACCGCCAAAAGCCCTAATAGCATCGGCTGTCATTGGCTCGATACATCCATCTTCGAAATAAAGCTGAAGATACTTTTCTTTTAACCATCGCGATCTACGATCCGTTAATTGCTGTTGCCGTTTCAGGCCTCGTAATATCCAACAAAGACCCATGTACCAAATTCTGAAACGAACGACAGTAATACCTTCCATTAAACTGGCCGATACGACTCGAATCAAAAGCTTCTCCGATCAAAGGTCTCTAGGTTCACCCGTGTGACGCGTGTATTTACGTAGAATCTTTTTTTATCTGTCTTTTTTTCTTTTTTTTTCTTTCTTTTTTTTTTGTTATCATTGCTACATGCTCGAAAGAGAAATAACGCAGCGAGAGTAGTAATAACTCTTTCAATACCAGTTCTCTTTTTCTTTCCTTTCTTTAAACATATCTACTATATTTGTCAATTTACGTGGATTCGATAAAATAGCTATTCCGTGCACGATTCGCTGGCTACAGTAGTAACGTTGGATAAAGGTTTGTCATAACAGTTATATATTCTCGGTGGGAGGGGAAAAAAGAAAACGAGGGGAAAACGTTTCGCTGATACAGAAACTAATACATACATACATGCATACATACATCTCTGCCAATAATTCTTCGCGAAATCTTTGTTGTTGCCGCGAGTTTGATTAAAAATTTCCACCCGAAAGCCTAACTTCACAGAATCAGCTCTCTCTCTCTCTCTCTCTCTCTCTCTCAACATTTAAACTCTCGAATTTTTGAAACTCGGGACTCTCGTACGTGCTCGATTTAAAATTTCAAACGTTTCATTTGCAAATGTAATCGACACTTCTACGAAGTTTCGGCGAAAGTTTATTTTTCTTTTGCTTTCGGCGAATTGCGATAAATCAATCTCCGTGTTGCTCTGCGTTTTTCGCGTAGTTTACTCAGTTGCAACTTCTTTTTCTTCAACCTCGTTTTCTTCTTAGGAGACGATACGCACATATATGAGACTGGCGAGTGAATCAGTAATTGCGCCGTGAGGCATTAAGCTTTCAGCGAGAGAAGCGTTTCAAGATAAGATCGACAATCAGCGTTAAGCATTCTAAGTAAGCATGACGTATCGCGGACGTCGCTCGCGCGCGTTTTACAAAATCTGTTTCAAAACGACGTTTCAATGAACGGAGGCATTGGTGAGACTGGCTGCAGAATATACACTTTTCCACTCGGCTCGAGCAGCTTCGGCTTTGAAATATACATACACGACTCAGCAATTCCGTTTCGATGGAAACGTTTCTTATTATCGCGCTCTTTCAGAGACGATACTTTTTCTCGTTGTCGCGCGTTGAAAGGGTATCGTTTGCAAATTTCATGCCATTGCGTTTTCTATTTTCATTTCGATTAATTTTGCCTTGCCTTGACGAAGTTTCGTAATTTTCAGAATTTGACAGGTTGGTCAAAAAATAATAAATACGTTGTTTTATGTGAGAGACAAACACTATGCTGATATACCATTTTGTTCGATCACCTTTTTTAATATCTTTCAAGTAACTCGAGTGTTCCCGTCTTTTCCTCGTCAATAGTGAAATTTAATAAACGAGTCCTAACTAAAAACTCGACTACTGCCATAGTTTTGCATGTATAATTTGATATAAATTAAATTTATTTAAAGCAAAACTAGATATTAATAAATACGACAAACATTTAATTTCTAAATGTATATTTATTTTTTTCATTCTACAAAAAATAATATACTTATATATATATATTTACTTTCGAGATAATTAAATTATTAAAATTAATTAATTAACCCCGATGTAAAAGCTACAAGATAAATTTTACTTATTTGTTTCTAAAAAGATTCACTTTCATTACTTCAAACTATAAACAACATTATTAATTTTTAATTATTACTAATTGCTTTTCGAAAATGACGGTCAGCGAAACATGATGGACGAAAATGTCCATCGATCAACAGACGTGACCGCTGACAAGATCGCGTATTTTTCTTTTCCTAAAACAAGCTTGAACAACTCGAATTACTTGGACTAATGACTCTGCGGTTTGAAATGAAATTACTCGCATTACAAAAACAAAAAANAAAAAAAAAAAAGAAAGAAAGAAAAAGAAAAGAAACACAATTACTTCTTGACCAACGCAACGTTCGATTAAATTTCATTGCGGCCATGCTGGAACTCAATTAGTAAGAGACGCGAGAGACGAAGAATCGGCGAAGTGATGGATCATACTACTTACTTGCTAAGCGCAGGAGGGCAAAGGAGAAAGATCAGTCGATTGTCCGGCAGACTGGAGCCGTACATGAGGCCGATACATGAATCGGATCCCGAGAGGCCGTACCTCTTGCATATGCTCCTGAGGTCGGTCTCTCTGTCCCGATCGCAGCAGCCGATCATCACTTCTTTCACGGAGCTTAGGTCCAAATATCCTTCTTCCAGCGTCACGGAACCGCAGTCCGTTTGTTGCATGGTATACCTGCCCACTAAGCCGGCCGGTACCGTGTCCTCTGGATTGGCAGTTAGCGAAAAGTCTGCGGAAGCCGTACTCCCCAGCTGTACCGTTTTCAACGGGCTCCACGGCGGCCTTTCCCACACGAACGTGCCGCACGCGCGATCCACTCGCGCGAACACCAACGCCGTCCTCGTAGTGCCGCCCTCGCAGTCCCAGTGCACCAGCGTCGTCCCGTGATGCAACACCTGATCATCGACAACATCATCTCGCGTTATTCGCCAATCGCCAGTTTTCCTATCCGAAGAAATCTAAACAGATCTAAGCAACTCGTTGAGTTTCGTCTCAAAAGATTTTTTTTGAAGGTGAACATTTCGCGGAAATGTTTAAATTAAAGTTTTACATCCCTTGAAATTTACACTTTAGTTTGATTCTTACGTGAACAAGAAGAAGCTAAAGAAAGAGGTTGGAAGAAAGAGGTTAGGAGGCAGTGGAATTATATTCGACATTCCCTTTACTGAATTTTTCACGAAACGGATGACGTTAAATTAATTAAACTTGTCTTATCTCTGAGGAGATATTCCATATACAAGGTGTCCCATTTCAATCTTTAATTTTAAATGCAACTATTTATTCGAAATTATTCTCAACGTCATTTGAAACACGTCTCAAATGCATTTTTTTTTTTTCTTCTGTTTTCAGAGCGTAGTAATTTGGTAACTTTTACTATTATTTTTTTAAGTATAATTATGCAGTTTTTGTCAAGTATAACTGAAGTACTAGCCTATCTACGCCTAAAACTAACAGACATTGTAAAATTGTAAAGTTCAAGTATCTCCTAAACTAACATTAATCTTAATTTTTAAATAAGAATTAAAATACTTTCAATACTTAATACTTAAAATATTTTTTCAAGGTTAATACTTTTTTTTACAGAAAACGACCTGCTGCGTTGACTGACGTAATTGTACTTGAAAAAATGGTGACTTTCACATCTCTATCCAGAGGCAAACCGAATACGAGTACAAAATTACTACCCTCTCGAAACAAAGACTAACTAAAAAAAAGATGCATTCGAGACATTTCTAATAATGCCGAATATCGAAGACAACCTCGGTTACAATTGCATTTACAGATTAAAATGGAACACCCTCTATGCTTATACATGTATGGTTATAAAACTGATGTTTACGATAATATATACCGACCGTGAGAATAAGTAACCACGAGTACAAAATGCACTTGACGCGCACTGCTTTTATATTATCATTGCTCTCACGCGTTCGTTTTACGCTTTTCCATAGAAGAAGGTGACTCTTCGCTTTATATGCACGCTAAAAAGTTACGCGCTGGCTGGTATTTTTTTGAAGATAATAGCTTCCAGCTTGTTTCAGGAATACCATTCAGCTTTAATATCGAAAATAAGGAGAGGGAGAGGGGGAGAGGGTTGCAAACTCGTTCTATAGACGTTTCATTACAAGTTTCCCCTTGTAAAGATGTTTATTCTCTGTCAGATTAAAAGGGATGTATTGATTCACAATGTTAACGTGCCTTTCGGATAATTTCGAAAGGTAAAAGCCACGATCGTTAACAAGTTCAGCTTTACAAGTTAATGGTGAACTACCCATCAAGCCGGACAAAGTAATGAATAGGGAAGAGAATGTAAATACTTAATTGTCAGTTATTAAACATTGAGAGCGACTCGAGTTGACCTACGTCCTCAAAGAGACCGTGGTTACACGATATTCTCAACATCAAACGTATACAATTGGATAATATCTTCCTACCTGCAAAACACATGCTCGAAAACACTTTAAACGTGCGATTCTTAAACGTGCAATTCATCCCTTAAGGAGGTCGAGACTTGGCTTATCGAATATTAAACGAAGATTTGAGTCCCTATATGTACAATAATGATATTTTATTAAATAACAAAATAACAAAGAAAAAGATTGAAATTTATCAAATATTAAATTATCTAATAGAATATTATATTAAAAATGTCGAATATTAAACGAAGATTTGAATCCTTATATATATAGTAATAATATTTTATTAAATAACAGAATAACAGAGAAAAAGATTGAAATTTATCAAATATTAATTTATCGAATAAAATATTATATTGAAAATGTCGAATATTAAACGAAGATTTGAATCCCTATATGTACAATAATGATATTTTATTAAATAACAAAATAACAAAGAAAAAGATTGAAATCTATCAAATATTAATTTATCGAATAGAATATTATATTAGAAATGTCGAATATTAAACGAAGATTTGAGTCCCTATATGTACAATAATGATATTTTATTAAATAACAAAATAACAAAGAAAAAGATTGAAATCTATCAAATATTAATTTATCGAATAGAATATTATATTAGAAATGTCGAATATTAAACGAAGATTTGAGTCCCTATATGTACAATAATGATATTTTATTAAATAACAAAATAACAAAGAAAAAGATTGAAATCTATCAAATATTAATTTATCGAATAGAATATTATATTAGAAATGTCGAATATTAAACGAAGATTTGAGTCCCTATATGTACAATAATGATATTTTATTAAATAACAGAATAACAGAGAAAAAGATTGAAATTTATCAAATATTAATTTATCAAATAAAATATTATATTGAAAATGTCGAATATTAAACGAAGATTTGAGCCCCTATATGTACAATAATGATATTTTATTAAATAACAAAGAAAAAAATTGAAATTTATCAAATATTAAATTATCAAATAGAATATTATATTAAAAATGTCGAATATTAAACGAAGATTTGAATACTTATATATATATATAGTAATAATATTTTATTAAATAATATTAAATAATATTTTATTAAATAACAACAAAGAAAAAAGTTTAGATCTATCGGCCAGATTTATCGAATAGAATATTAAATCAGAATCGTGTATTAGAAATATTGAGCAGAAACGACAGATGTTGGAATTTTATTTGTTTTCCTCGAAAAATGCAGACTACAGAGACACGACTCCCTTCTTCCCCTCGGGTTGCTGTTACAAATCTTTTAGTTTTCCTTCACTCGACCGCCTCAGTCGAAAAATCGTATCGAAATTGTTCGTTGAGAATATTCATCGGGGCCCGAGTATCTCGGCAAAGGGAACATTCTTGCTAATAAATTAACAAGAAGCGGCCAGGAGTCGTCGTCGAAAATCTCGCCAAGAGGTGCAATTTCCCGGCGACTGTAATCTTCGGCTATCGAGATCGTTTGCAGCGGTATCGGTTGCAGTTGCGGTGCACCGAGTCGTATTCCGGCACACATGCCACGACGTACATACGTGTGCATCGCGATCTGTGGCTGTGTTTATAACGCTGATGAAACTTCTAATGCACTTAGAAACGCCGTTTACGCGCGGTTGGCCATAAGTGCAGCCTCCGCCAACACTTATAAAAGCGTGTGCACTACGCGAAATTGTTTATTCGCTTCGTAGATTAATCGACGACTCGCGTTGAAACACGCGGAATATTCGCGATCCATTCCCGAACGGAAAAGTAAAAAGTTCGTTTGTTTTCTATAATGCAATTTCACAGATGGCAATTTTGGTGGCACTAGTGTAGCGACCTCTACTTTGATGAATTTAGATCAACGAAATCTATGTTCATTAAATCGTTCCGTCGAGATGTGTATTTAATATAAACAATAGAATATTGAAAAATTGTTTGTAATTTTATTATCACCATGGAAATATTTACAGAAACTTATATATATATACTGCAATTATCATGTTAATTATTCATTCGTTATTTAACTTTCATTATTTAATCTTCGTTATTTGATATTTATTATTAGTAATTATATATTTTGTTATATTGATAATATTTTTATACAAACTACTAAAATTTATTACGGAGTTATTATTTATTTGTAGTATTGTGATATTAATTTAAATTATCATCATAACAACTACACTAGTATTCGGCAAACGCCTTCGCGACGTTCTACAAAAACGCTATTTGCGCAACTTTTCGTTTCAACCTCTTTGGAACCGAGTGTTTTTAAAGACAAGTTCCGCCACTCGAAACCATTTGCACGCGTACATTTACGTACATACGTATGTATTATATGTGCGTGCGCACGTTATTTCAGAAAGAAAAATACTCGACTAGACGAGAGGTACGATTGAAACTGGTAAAATTTAAAACCTGTTCAGAACCGCGATTACAGACGTACGATCTCGTAATTTATTGCAGTTTGTATTTACAAAGTGGATGTTAATAGAGACGAATTCGCGTGAATTTAGGTCACTCGGTTAGATGGATTTTGATATAGAAAATTGATTTGCATAATTCCGGGTAGGTTCACTTTCGAAATACATACCCACCGATTTCGACGACGACAGCTTTTATTAATTTCGACTGGTACGAATATGTTTTAAGTACGATACAAAATTTCCCATTGTAATTCTTCCTCATTTTTCTTTTTTTTTTTTTGTACCTGTAGATACTTATTACTATTGATAGTACAACTGTTTTCGAGATTGCTATGAGCAACTAATTGATAAGAAGAAGTTTCGTTCGAACAAGTGACCCGGTTTTCGTCTTTCTTCCGACGTCTTCCAACTTTAATCCTTTTCATTTCTAGCTGCTTTCCTCGCTCGTTTCCCGATCTTTGACTCTCTCTCTCTCTCTCTCTCTCTCTCTCTCTCGCTTGTTCGCGAATTTACGCGAACAGGATATATAGCTAAGGGTAGCAGGGTAAAGTCAGTGCCTTTGAAATCCTTTTCAAGCGCAGAAAAACCACGCTGACGACGTCTTTTATCTGAATCTTGCACCGTGTCCGGCAACTACGAAAGTAGCTGGGATATTAATATTTCGAAATCGACTGAAGCTCGTATCTCGCAGGGCTATGTACGCTACTTTTCAAGGCTCGCACTGTAGTTGCACCCGTATACACGTAACACGACGCGAGATGAGCATAAATAGCTGGAATTTAGAATACATGATCGTTTCTAGTATAGCTTAAATATATTCGTTTAACAATTATTATTGATTTACGAAATTTCGTTTGTTTCGATCTAGAAAGCAATTACGAAACTACTTGTGTCACTTTAATTTTTATTATTTAATAAATAAAATTATTTAGTATCTTTTGTATTTACTTACTTTATATTTAGTAATGTATTTTATATTTTATATTAATAGTGTAATATATTTTATATTTTATATTAGTAGTGTAATGTATTTTATATTTTATATTAGTAGTATAATATTTCTAACATGATACCAAATAACAAACTTTCGAAATTTTATTTTCCTCGGTCGAGAAAGTTTACGAAAATATTCGTATCACTTTAATTTTTAATAAATAAAATTATTTAGTATCTTTTGTATTTACTTACTTTATATTTAGTAATGTATTTTATATTTTATATTTAATAGTGTAATATTTCTAACATGATACCAAGCAACAAACTTTCGAAATTTCATTTGCTTCGATCGAGAAAGTTTACGAAAATATTTGTATCACTTAAATTTTTACCATTTAATAAACAAAATTATTCAATATTTTTTAAATTCAATTATATACTTATAAATCTTCAGTTGTATATCTTATTTTATATTTAGTAACATACATTTCTAATTTAAGAAATTCCTTCGATATAAGAATATTTTTGTCGTTATTACTACTTTTCTAAAATCCAAAGCTACTCTATTAAACTGACTTTCACCAACTATCAAATACACCTAAAAGCGCGGCAGATTTATGAAGTATCTGCGCATTGTCAAACGATACACACATACATTCCAAACAACTGAACTCGCAGCAATTAATAATCGCATTATTGCCGCTACGTAGATCAATGATCAAGACGATCGTGCAACAAAAACGAAACGAAGAGGAAAAAAAAAAAGGAGCGTAAGTAAAGTAGAGTGGTAAATCGCACGTTTACCTGCAAAAGATGCAGATCCATCCCGGAGTGCGGAGCAGCGACAGGAAACAACGCAACTCCATGGTCGAACGTGATTGGCTGTACCGGCTTGTAGGAATCGAGATCGAAATGATAGTCGTTCTCGTCACATTCTTCGGCCATGTAGGTCTGCTCGATCGCAGTCGCATGAATGCTGAGCGTGCGATGCAGCGAACCAGTTGTCGCGTCTCTGCCCCGAGCATGTTGATGCTACGTAAACGACAGTTAACGATAACTTTATCGACGCTTGCTGATGTACATATATCTCGTACCATGATCTTTACAATTTCTTTCTTTTCTTTTATTTTATTCTTTTTTTTTTTTTTCTGGAATCATCCGTGAAACGAAACGATTTTCATCCGCGCGTACACCTACGTAATAATATCTTACGAAATATACACGAACGTGAAATTTCAATTATCCCCGCGATAGGTCAAAAATAAAAAAGTTATACGTCGGAACAAATAGCCCCGCCATAGTGTAACGCGGCGACCGTAATAAAAAGGGAACGCAAGAACACTTCAACTGCAACGGTTACAGCGAAAACTTTGATTAAAGAAGGGAACAGCATTCTCGCTATGATTTCGGTTAATCCATGCGCAATCTCTCGCGATAGTCCGACCGTTTTTCTACTTTCTGACAACGTCTTCGGAACGCGGAAGAACTACGGAGGGCACGAGCGATTTACCTTGTGAAATTCGGCGATCTTCTCGAGAACGGAGTTCGTGTCGCGGACCGGAGTGTTCTCCTGCTTCTTCAAGGAGCTGTTCCTCAGGTTCCATTCCGCGGATGATTCGGTGCGAGTGTCGACAGCGATATTCGCGGTCTGCCCCGAGGACGACACGTTCTCCGGCTGCTTGCTCTCGGGATCCTTGCTGCTGCCACGCGGTGATTCGCCGTGCTCCTTACATTCGTGTTGCGACTGAAATAAAAATCAATTTTCTTTCTTTTTTTTTATGTTTTTTTTTTCACTCCCTCGATCGATTGTGACGTTTTTTGTTGGCACACATTTCTTTGAGAAACAGAACGACGTTATTATTATTATTCTCATATCGAGGAATTATCGAGTCAAACGTTCAGAACGAAATTTTCTTTTTCTCTAACAATCGAACAAAGCATCCTCTCTGGTTTGTGGATCGCGATTTCATAAGATTTCACAGCGGGTTGTATATCTTTCGAGCGAAGCGCGACGTTTCCCCTATCTCTCCAGCGAGATGCCTGATGTTTTGCCGATTTCAAAGGTCACCCGAGCTATAAATCTCCTAATGCAAAAGCGATTGCGCACATTCTTCATTCCCTTACGTATATATCTTGCGTACAGAGAAAATGGATTAAGATTAATTATACTCTTGTCCGCCAGTTATTTCTACGTTTGTTTCTATATGCTGCACTATACTACGCTATATCTATCTACATAGCTAATAAATTCACAGCAATACAAAAAAGAAAAATATATATATATATAATGTAAATATAATGTATATATAATATAAAATATAAATAAAAAGATAGACTCTAAAAGATATGATTCCAAGTCAATAATAAGTCAAACAAGGATATTCGACGACTTTGGTAATCGATGTTAACTTTAGTTTGTTCAATGCATTATTACAAATAATAAAACAGTCGAATTTCTCTCGAATTTCTTCGCGCAGATTCACCCCTTGCGATTATTCAGGGGCGAAGACTTGCCAGGAGTTTCTTCCCTTCATCTAAAATTCTATACACATATACATATATGTATGTACGTCAGAAACGCGTGAAAAATCAAAATCAAACGTACAGAATTTTTTGTCCCAAATTGCAGCATTTTTTCAGTCTTAAGTATATTTAAATGTAACCCAGACAAAACCAATAACAAGTTTAGTACCTCTTAATAATTTCTATCCAGTGATATCGTACCGACGAGTTCAAAAGAAAAAGAAAGCGACAAATTGTTGTATACGATTCAGTCACTCGTTATGGTCCGCGAACCAGTTGCCAGCGCAAGTGGTTAAACATTGTTCGGTCATAACATTTATAGTTTGTGTATTGTCTTGAAGAAATTATAGTTTCAAGAATGTTTCTCATTTGGTTTATAGATTTTTGGTTTCCAAAATCCTAAAAGAACTTACGGTTGAACATCTTTCGATCAAAACATGTACAATTTGTTTATTAACCTAAGAGATTATAGTTTCAAGAATGTTTCTCATTTGGTTTATTGACTTTTGGTTTTCTAAATCCTAGAAGAACTTACGATTGAACATCTTTCGATCAAAACATATACAATTTATTTATTAACCTAAGAGATTATTATTTCAAGAATGTTTCTCATATGTTTTTGGTTTCCAAAATTCTAGAAGAACGTATTAAACATCGTTCGATCATAACATATATATAGTTTGTGTATTATCCTGAGTGTTTCAATAAGAATGCTTGTCATTTGGTTCGTAACACTTTGAAACTGTAATATACATAAAATAGATTAACACACGTATATTTTCGATTATCGGGAAGAGTTATTTTCGTACAGGTACATGTGTAAATGGAGATACTCCCCGTCGATCAAAATTTCATCAATTTGACCCATTAAAGTCCACTGTTCTATTAGTAGGGCAGCACCTCCCGATGACCGTTTGCACTTTGAACTTCCACAGAGGTATTTGTTCAACGAATGGCCCGGCGAATTCTCTTCAGCGGCAATTTTAACAGAATTTCGTCCGTCGGACCTCTCGTGCAAGTACAAACGTTGTTTTTTAAGTAGACTTGCGCAACGTAATTACGATTGATCTCGTAAAAACGAATCGATCTGTCATCGATCACTCATTATTCAGTCTTGAAAATCTGCAAATTTTGCTCGAACATAATGAACACTTTGTCTCGTAATATAATGAACATTTGTTTATTAAGGACTGAGAGGGATTATTTTACATTATATTTCCCGTACACAAGCACGAAAATTTCTACAAGTAACAATTTTTAATTGCTTCCAAATTCAAAAAAGTCGCAAAGTTCAAAGTTTTTAAATGCTCTTTAATCGAACAATTTACTCTAGGTTGAAGCAGATTTTTCAGGTTTAGTGGAAAATTGTTGAGAAAGATCTTGAATGTTCAGCAAATAAAATCCTTCCTTATATAACTCGATAAAAATTTTCTGAACGTGATATTCTATAACGTGATATTTCTTAACTTAAAACAGCTAGTTTTAAAAAAGGTAAAGAAGAAAAGGTTTGTGAATTGAATTGAATCATTTTAGAACACTCTCTATTAAATCTTTTTATTTATTTTGTTGAAGACATTCTAGCATGTCGAAGACCTTGAAGAATCATGTCTGTCCATTCTTTAAACGAAAATTGCTTTTCCATCTGCTGACAGAGTTTCCATCGTAAAAATTCAATAACTTTTGTAGTAAATATTATACACAAGTAATAATATAATTTTAATAACATCTTGTACGATAATAAAAATTTACTTTTCGTGCGATAAAATTTATTCCTTCGTAACAAAGTCCAAAATCTTTGCATTTGCCGAAGAGAAAGTACTCTGAATAAATTTATACATATATAATACGAAAAAAACCATTTACGAGACAATGAAAATGAAATGTAAATGATGGATTATGGATTGTGCGTTTGTGGATAACGTAAAAATATGTACCAAGAAGAAATGAAAAAAAAAAAAAAAAAGAAAATACAAACAAAGAAAAATGTGACTTCGCACTCGAATATCGCGAGGCAATCAAGAAGAGATAACATCGTGCCGCGTTGTCACGACGATTCAGAATAATAGAAGAGGTAATCTCCGGTAATCTCCATACTCTACTCGCGTTATTTTATCTTTGACGATCGTGTCGGAAATATCTTCAAAAATTCCGCCAGATTCTAGAACAAAAGTTGGTCCACGTAGATGGAGAATATTGCAGAAATCATTTCGAGGAAGCAATTTCGCTTATAACGTGTGCGGGAATGACGTCTGCAATTTTAAACTCATTTTCAAGGGACAGGTACTCGAAACCAGAGGCAAAACGGAATTCTGCAAATTCTCCCCCCCTCCTCGTACGAATTCAACAAACATCGCGCTCTTGAAACTGATCGAAGCAGAATTCTTCGAAACGAATGAAATTTTTCTACGTGCAAAGCGCCCGCTATTTGCTCGTTGCTTTGCCGCGTATGTCGAGTATAATGCTTGTACAGGGTGAAAAAACGTACATCTGCGTAACGCGCGTAAAAAGAAAAAAAGAGAAAAAGAAAGAAAGAGAGAAAGAAAGAAAAAGGAAGGACGAAGCGCCGGTGAGAAATTAAAATTCGTAAAACAGGGGATGATGAGAACCTTTAACAAAGCTTGAATTTGTCAGCAGTATTACGAAACGTAACACTCGGTGTTCTCGGAATATCTGGGGGAGGTAGACCCTTTAGATTTACAGCCCTTGCTCGGGGATCCTTTCGAGTTGACAAAGCTCTTTGTCGAAAGAATTAAGGTCGTTGAAACTGAGAATCTCCCAGCTTCTTGGGGCTTGGTTGCCGTCACGATCAATTTTACGATGTTTGCCTAACGACGAGATGATACATCTTGTTAAGATAAATGAAACTTCCTGCAACGCACCGTGAAAAAGTCACTTGCCAAATTAATTCTTAGCCAGCGAACTTGATGTCTCGTCTAGGATTTATTGCCAATATTATTGCTGTGTTTATGTATTATTTCATCAGGATAAAAACCTCTAATGGTAGAAATTTTGATTAATACCCACTTGCAGAAAGTGAAACTTGAGACTGACAAAAGATCTGTCAATAACGAATGAACAAATTATCACTAGAACTATTAAAATGGTCAAAATGACCAATTTATAATTCTTTAGAGTAACTTTGCGAATTTACAATGTTACATTTTTTAGAAATTCGAAATATATGGATGAAAGTTCGTGTTCATTATCGTATTATAAATCTTTACATATTCTGATTTTTTTGACTCAATTTTTATACTTTAGTCCTCGATAGTTCTAGTGTTACAAACGACAAAACTCTGTAACAGTGATCTATCGCGAGAAAATCTGCTATTGAGTTTCTTTAGCCGTAAATGTCACAATCTTCTTTAGAATTAGATCTTCCGTCTAATGATTCAATCTAATTTTTCAGCTATACATCGGGGCAAAAGAATCGTTCAAGAGGAACGTGCCGTGAGTGAACTTTATTTCGGTGAATCCAAAAAAAAATGATTTGGTGTCTACCTGTCGTAATACACTGCTCAATGTATCCTACTATTGCTATTCTTCCAACGCAAAACGAATTTATCAGCGTTTCATTTAACTGCTTTATGGTTTCGTGTTCAACGTGGGCAATGTCTCGCTGAATCATTTCCACGCAGAGTTACGATATGAGTTTCCAGCATTAGCGTGCACGAGTATGCGAGCATCGAGTCGCCTCATTCGTATTTATGCATTATGCAAATTACGATATCACGCGACGGCCATATTTACGCAGACATTGAAAAATACTTGTGCACGATGTTGACACGACGGTCACATTTACCGTGTTTTAAACGACACCATGTTTCGAACCATTACTCAATACGTTTAATGCGGACTCAAGAGTAAAATTAACCCGTCAGTATCGTTCACGTACTTTATGAATCATCGAGTGAATCACGTTTTTCATATTTTTCCACTGGAACAATCGATGATCTCATCCGTTTAATTTCAAACAAATCTTTTGATTTTTCTCTCTCTCTCTCTCTCTCTTTTTAAAAATATTCGCGTAATAAATCTGTCAAATGAATCGTACGTGTAATGCAATAATTACCTTCCGGTAGGAGAATTGGGTCGTTGACGATCCAAGCGGAACTCGTCTTTTTTTTTATTTTTTCAAACCTCCCACTCGATTTTTATTTCTCCGGGAAAAGGTTCATAAACATTTCATTTGACGGACGATCGCACGCAGACTTTGATAGG